CCGCGTTCAACAAAACTTGCAATTGGAATGCTCAACGAGCCGTGAAGCCTGACATAAAAAGACGGACTTCGCGCTGATCGAGCTAAAATCAGGACGCACAATAACAAGAGAAACAATAACTTCATGATCTTCCAAAAATCAAGGTTGAAACTCATAATGTGTGAGAATCGCCCACTAAACTAAACCCAGTTATTACTTCGGATCGAAATTGACCAATACGAAACAACGCGTTTTCCTGAGAGGTTCGCAGGAAAAAGAAGCCATTTAAAAGACGTTTACCTCTGCTAGGTTAGAAGCGAAAAAATATTTTACAATTGTAACGACTAATGCTTCATTCTGTCTATTTTTCTGCTCGTTTGTCTTTGCCAGTAACTCTGGTCACTTTCGAATTAACGATTTTTTCCTATTTTTCACTCCGTTACTTTTGTTAAATTATTTTTGTTAAATTTATTTTTATTCTTGCAAAAAAGTGGGGGGGCTAAAGCCCCCCCAGCCCCTCCCTCTGCGCGGTCCCTGTTACCGGAAAGGGTCTCAAATAGACTAAATGCCGGCGCTCAGAAAATTTTGAAAATTTTCTACGAAATCCCTTTTCTTGACCTCTTAAAAGTGTTCTATTGGCCATTTCAGAGTTGCGTAGGGAACAGGGGTGAGTTTCAAATTTAAACTAATTGATAAACAGACACCACCACATAAAAGGTCACACTGAGATTGGTTATTTGACCAAGTTTGGTCCTCTAAAGTTGAAAAGGGATCAAGTTATGACTCTTGAAACATGGTTAAGATCCATACAAACATCTGTAATTTTGTGACAGCATCCCCCAAAACCATATAAACTCTTAAAATCTCTGTTGAACTGTAAAATTCATCATTTAAACTGTAAAATTCAACTGTCTGTGTTGAACAGAATCTTCTACCTAGAATTTCAAACCCTGAAAACTTAATGGGGAATAACCACTTTATGTGATGGGAGTTTCCTCTGTAAAGATTATTTTATTATTAGTAGTAGTAGTAGTATTATGCATCTATTACTTGGAAGGAACTGATTCAAAAATCACTTTGTTTGTCTGTTTTCAGGAATATCACAGAAATAGTGAAAAAAGTTAAGAGTTTATATGGTTTGGGGGGAAATCAAAGCTGTTACAAAATTACGAATGTTTGTATGGATCTTTAACCATGTTTTAAGAGTCATAACTTGATTCCTGTGCAACCTTAGAGCACCAAACGTGGTCAAATAACCAATCTCAACATGACCTTTTATATGGTGGTGTCAGTTAAATTTGAAACTCACCCCAGTTCCCTACACAACTCCAAAATGGCCAATCTTCATCCAGAATAACCAACCAATCAGGAAAACAAGGGTGGTTTTGCTGTTGAGCAAATATGGTTTTCTTGGGAGGCACAGAGTCAGCACTATTTCAACACTTAGAATAATTGTGGCCTGCACAAGGCAGCCACCTATTTTTGTCTTGAAAGCATCTGTGAACTTGATTTGTCAGATAGTTTGTTTGGAAATTTGTTAGTTTGTTTCGCTGTTGTACCAGTTCTCAGTCCCCACCGCCTTGCATCCGATCCAGCAAAGTATAATGGCGGCTAAAAAATTTTATATGAGAATTTTGTGAGTGCTAAGAAAGTAAACCTCTATGATTCTTTCTGAACACATTTTAAAAGGAAATGGTGATAAACTTGTTAAAGAGTTTCTTAGTACTCTTGAATCTGCGACCTCTTGGTTTAATAGACATTTGTGACTGTTGTGTATGAGTTTGGCATTTGAGAGTCGGACGTGAGTGCGAGGGACAGGTTAATATTTTTCTGTAATGCAGCTCTTGAAGAAATTCATCAGGCTAGAGAAGTTATTGTAATGCAGCTGTTAAGTTACTCATTTGCTTGTCATGTTGGTTGTAAAGTTAAGTATTTTGGAAAGGTAGCCAATGCAGTGAGGATTTGAGGGGAAGACAATATTGTTTCATGTGTTTCGCAGCACTTTCTTTCCATGAGCCCAACCAGTTATCAGCTGAGAATCGTTGTGGATTGTGAACACAATCTATGAAATCTTGTCACGAAGAGACAATTAGTTTCAAATGGCCCAAAGCAATCAACTCAGCAGAATTATTTTTAGCAGATAACCTTCCCGTTATAGTTCACTACTTTTTTAACAAGGTGAATGGAACAACGAGGAGAACAAACTGAAGTACTATTGAGGTCATAATTTGCTCTGTCAAAGAGGCTAACAAAACAAGCGATTTTCTTGCCAAGGTGGGCAAACTGAATTAAGGTTTTCCTGTTCATTTATAATACTTATTTGTTTTGATCTCATCAAGTAAAAGAATGAATACAACAGAAACGAATAGGTACAGTTCGGTGACAGTTCACTAAATCGAAGATGCTTTCTGAAAGTTTTGTTTTTAAATATGTCTTTATTGTGTATTTGTCAATAACAATCCAAACTGATTTTCGAGTATGCATTTCATATACAACCTTTCATTATACAGGGTTTACCGGTAGTTTAAAAACCATGTTTTGGTGACTTACGGGCGCAGTCTCTTCTCAGTCTATATGCCCGTTAGTCCAAATAATTATTATTTGTTGACCAAATTTCGATGAATAGTCTCATTTTAACCCCCTGAAAGTTTTCCATTGGCCTTCAAAAAGTTGCCAAACAATTTTGTGAGACTATAAACAAGCTATTTTGATGGCTCACAAAGAATTACCATCAGACTAGCTGCTGTTTTAGACTTCCAGATCATTCTTACTGGTGTAGAATTGTTTGTTGTAATTTAGTTTAGTTTGCAAGGGTATTTAGCCCATGTGAGAATAATATGTGCCTAAGAGTCACATACAGAATACATGCAAAACTAGAGGTTCCATATTGGAAGTGAAGTGTGGCCCCATGTAGAAAGATTAAGGGGTAGGAATGGTAGTAAATAATCTATTGTATCTCAGTTGAGGATATTACATGGTCTTCAAGGTTATGCACCTATCAATGTAAATCCCGTGGGGGGGGAGTGCGGGCAAGGGGAGGGGATTTGATGCCTGGGGCTATCCCCGCTGTCGGGCTTTTGATCGTGCGAAGCGACCCCGGGGTCGGGACATTTGACTTTGACCGACAGAAGCCTGGTATCAATTCAGAAGCAGTTACCAAGTCCGTCCCTCGAGGCTTCCTGAAAGTCACGTTGTTGGAGAAAGGTATGAAGTTTTCATTTGTTTTAATCGCCATAATCCGATACTTTAAACTGTCATCTAAACAGATAATGTCTATTTTGAAGAAGTTTTAAGCTTCAAGTTCCCATCTGATTGTAAAAATCGATTGAAATCGAATTCCACAATGAAAGTCAGAGGATTTTTTTATGGGTCACTGATCCGACCTGTTCCGACATGTTGAGCAGATGTTATAAAGCATTTTACGTTTTATTAATATGAAACAGCACAGTCAATCTTCCTGAAGTGATTTTGTTGTTCAAGATAAGAGATGCTAGTGGAGAGAGAAAATACTTAATTACAGCGAGTAATTTAATGGAGCTTCCGTTAACCGTAAATAAAAGTAGTAACAACGTGTTTGAAATGTTCTTTTATTCGTTTTATATAGTATTATAGCATTGTTTGTTTAGATTTTTTCCCCTGGGGTGGGGGCTTTTTTGACACTTTTGATTGACCTTTCGTTTCCCACCCTGGGGAACTTGATTGCAAAATTTTAAAATTTGTCAAATCCCCACCCCTTGCCCGCACTCCCCCCCCACGGGGTTTACATTGATAGGTGCATTACTTAGCTTTGCATGATGGGACAAAAGGGAGACTACAGTATGAAATATTTTGAAGTTGAGTTGTGTTGTATTTTTAAGCTTACTAATATCTTCAGCTTTATCTTGATGTATGGCCATAATTCTGAACCTGCTTATTCTTATTAGTTTCAACTGCTGGGCATTGCATGTAAGTCTATTGAAGACCCTTCCCAGCTGCTGGGCTTATAGCCACAGCATTTTGTTTACCCTGAGATTCAAAGAGGTGGCTAGTTGAATTGAATCAATTAGTAGTTATCTCCATGGATGGTTGCCCACAGTTATTAAGCCTGATATAGTACATGATTAGTAATGATAATATTATTGGATGAGGCTGAGAATGATATGAAGAATTATGCAGTTCAAGGAGGAATTATTGGTGGATAACTACGTCTGAGATAATATGCATAATTCTTCACATCTTAAAAGCTGGATGTTAGGTAGTAGTTTGGCTGTTTCTTCTTCACTAAAAAAAATGCGCTTTTTATTTGATTGTCAATGTATTTAGCACGAAAGTACTAATTGGGGACACTATATTTTACGTCTCCAACTGAAGATGGGACCGCCATTTTATGTGGTCATCTGAGCCACGCAAAGGTCTAGCCTGTTACAGTGCAAAGGGAGTACCTTCATTTCTCGGTTATTTTAAGACCCTGAATATTGGTCTGGCCCCAGGAATCGAACCCGCCACCTCCTGCTCTTCAGTCAACACGCTTTACCGACTGAGCTAACACTGCCGCGGTGTACACCTTTCACTTCACATGCAAAATGCAAGTGGATTTGTAAGCATGCTTTTATAACCACATAATGGTAGTGTTTAGCCTATAATTGGTTAAACTAATGTGTTTCTGCTTTCTTTTCTATTTCTACTACTATAATAGATATATGTGGTGAAATAAGTAAATATTAAATAAAAATATGCTGTAAATAACATTGCATTTGTAACATTCCTGAAATAGCTCGGGTGTTAACAGTTTTCTTGGTTCAAGAGCATCTTACAAAAACAATTTATTTTCTTTTAATTAGACGTCAAGTCCACAAGCCAATGCATCCACCCCAACCCCACAAGCCAATAAGATTACATCCATCTCAGAGACTAATAAGTCTTTATCAAGTCTACAAACCAGTGCAAGATTTTCCTCACCAAGTAGTACCTGGCCCCCTACCAAGTGTACACCTTTGTGCAATGAAAAATGTTCTTATGCTGGTAAACATCATGAATTAATAATGGCCATGATGAAATGCTCAAATGGAAGTGAAATAGATAAAACAGACTTCAAGAAATCTCTTGACAAGTTTGCAAAAACAAAGTGGCTTCGCAGTGGCTGCATTCCAGACAAGGATGAAAAACTGCGACTTCCATTAGTGCACTGGGCATGTATGCTTGGAAAATACAAGGCTTTAGAGTATCTTGTTAGTGAAAAAGGTTTTGAACTTACCATAAAAGTGGGCAAGAATCAACATGGACCACTGCATTCCATGGTGCAACATCTCCACAGCTGCCTTAATCCAAAGAGCTCCAAAGAATATGTTAGCAACATGTTTGGGAACATTGTAGATGTTTTTCTCAAATATACTATTGATGTCTTGTGTGAAAAGGATCCCAGTACTGGTGATACAATACTGCATTTCTTAGCGAAACGGTGCTGCTCAGACATTTTTTCTAGGATGTACCTGAAGACTCTATTGGTTAAGATTAAAGAAAATGCCAAAGTTTCTCAAGAGAAGCTTTATGAGATTTTGTCTGCTGTAAACAAATGTGGTGATACCTTCCTTCATGTCATTGTGCCAGATGAGGAGTCTGTTCCTACGTTAAATTACTTCTTTGGCAACTTTGGTTTGAACAGTGAGAAAATATCCAAAGCCAAGAACAATTTTGGGAAAACACCACGTCAGATTGCTGTTGAAAAGAGGTCGTTTCAAATGCTGAAAGCCTTGGGTGCCCCTGATGTTGTCATTAGCAGTCTCCAAAAGGCTGTGGCCGGGGGAAAGTCAAATACTAGTACTCCTAAGAGGGTGAGGTTTATTGATGAGAAAGATGCAAAGAAAAGTCCTTCGAAAAGTTCTCCAGCAACAGAGTCATCATCAGAGGACAATGCTAAGTTGGAAGACAAGGAAGCTCGTAATCATTCTTCAACAATTGTCGATCTTACCACGTTAGAAAAATCAACAGTAGATGCCTCATCTGGGGAGCAGCAGGGTGGGGAGAATGTACATATAAGCAGTGATCAGCTACAGACAGAAGTACTAAAGTTATGTTCATGTGATTCCCCAAACGACGAAAAAGACAAAGCAACTGATTCATCTGCACCTACCAAAAGAAAGATAGAACCATTCCCCCAGCGCAACCCAGGAAATGAAAAAGGAAATAAAACATCTCCAGGAAAGTCTGTTGGTGCAGTGGAAAAGGCTGGTGAGGTGGCTGAAGTAATTGATATACCTGAGGATATGCCAGAAGCGCCTACAAACTCATCTGACAGAAATGTCTTCCTGAGTCTGTCGAATACTGTTAACAGTTTGAAAAAAGGAGATTCCTCGTCATCTGGCAGGAAGAGACCAGCTCTTACAACACTGAAATCCAAAGCACCCAGAAGGAAGAGAGGGCGTGGCTCATGGTCAGATTCGGAGAGTGATGTGGAGGATGAGGAGGATTTCAATCTGGATGATGATTCAGATGATGATGTTGAATCAGAGGAGGAGGATTTAGAAGAAGAAGAAATGGACGAAGAGGAAGTTGACAATGAAGAAGCAGAAAGTGTCTCTAGTGCTGGCAAGAAAGCAGCTGAAATAAGAAATGAGGATGACATTGAGTTAGAAAAAGGTACGTAAAGTTTTGACTGAGTATAACTGCTTATTTATTTTGAGGACAAAAATAATTTTATTATAGAGGAGGAGTGTGCAGGCATGTGTGGCCAAGTGGTTAACTCCTCGAACTCTGGATCTGGAGGTCAGAACCCCTCGCCCATCGCGTTGTTTCCTTAGACAAGGAACATTACTCCACTTTGTTTCTTTTCACCCAGGTGTATAAATGGGTACCAGCGACATACTGCTGGGGGGGTAACCCTGTGATGGACTAGCATCCCATCTAGGGGGGAGTAGCAATACTCCTAGGCTTGCATCACACTATGGAAACTGGTGTAAGCTCCGGCCGTGTGGGCCTTTGGCTTGTGTGCACCTTTGCCTACCCTTTCAAAGAGTGGGAGTCAATTCAATTAAGTGAAATACAAATTAATGCAATGAAATTTTAAACATGTTTTATTACATAGGGATAAAAAAATTTCCACCCAAAAGCTCCAATATGCCTAGCCTCCCATGTTCTTAGGGGCTTTGTTGCATGTTCCTTGACAAAGCCCTAAGAACATGTGTTGTGCGCTAATGTATACCTGATGAAAATTACTTTTAGTATTTGCTGCAAGGATACCAAACACCATAAAATTGTGGAAAATATGACTTTAGCTCATACAATTTGTAAGAAATTTTTGGTGAGCTTGTAGATGGGGATGGGTTTGTATCTGTTGTAGTTAATTATTTTTTTATATCAGGGAATTTTTATTTTTCTTCTGTTTCAACTTTATTAGCATACATTACCATACCCAAAAACAAAAGAAAAATAAAAATTACTTGAGATAAATTAACTACAACATATCCAAGGGGGGTTAAAAGAAGCCTGCGAGTAGGCCCTCAGGTTGCAGTTTCATGCTGGATCTCTTGTTTCTTGTGCGAGATGTTAAAACCAAGAGGGAGTCACCCACTTGCTTGCTTAAAATTCTGCTTTGGAACATTTGAACTTTTTGTTGCAAAATGAAATTACTATTGCTGGAAATTGTGCGAATATAATAAGCGCCCAGCCTTGAATAAATACCCACCTCGAATAACCGCCCACTCTTTCAAGAGTTTTTGGAGCTTATCGAATGAATACGGAACTCACGAACTATCAAAGTTATAGCAGCGCCATTTAATTGATAAAATTTTGTCACTTGCGCTTAGGCGATTCACTTGACAAAATATCACATGTCAAAATTGATCATTTAAGAAACCGTTCGGGATAGCGCCAAACGCTCGTGCGTATGGAACGGGTTTTATGCAGTCTTGAGAGAAAACGTCTCGAGTAATGCTGACATGTTCGGTAGAGTCAGCTAACAATGGTAATTTTACCCAAATTGCAGAAGTTTGTCACCGTGTTTCACCACCTTGGCATGAAACATGATTCTTGCTTTGTCTCTTTTAAAAACGTACACTAATTTCCTTTCTTTTGAAGAAATTCATTAGGCTAGTAAGTTCAAATATCTAATGAAATGTTCTTAAGATATTCTGGGAAGCAAGCGAAATAGTTGAGCAGGAAAGCGACAAGTTCAAAAGATGGATCAAGGAAAGTATACATATTAGAACGAACACTCCTACCATGAACAGGGATGAGGAAGCATACTTGCTACTGATCTCCTATATTTCCACGCCCAACCATGCGCGCGGGGGGGAGGAGGGGCGGGGAGTCTCGACAGAGTGACTTTGCGCGTCTTGTCGTAATTAACACCTTCAGAAGCCTATTCAGGGCTACTGAAACCCGTGACGTTTTTTAGTTTGATAAAGATGACTGTCAGTCATCGAAACTGTCAGCATGATTGGGAATTTTTTTCGGGCTATGCTTTAAGAACATTTGAATATTTAGTTTCCTTTCTGCTTCTTTTGCAGCGCCAAAACACACCCCTTTTTGCAGCCAGGATTGTTCGTCGCAACATCACAAGCTTCTGCTGAGCCTATTGAAGTGTTCAAACTATAACTACGGCATGGAGCATAATAACACTTTCATGAAACAAGTCAATGATTACCTCAATCAACATGGAAAGTTTTCTGATGTGCGAGCTAACGCGGATCTGCCTGATCCTTTGCCCTCTTTTCAGTACCCCTTGGTCCACTGGGTGTGTGTCCTAGGAAAGTATAAAGTCTTGGAGAGGTTAACAGAATTAAAGGAATTCAATTTTGCTGTACAGTCTGAGCGGACTGGGGAAACTGGTTTGCACCGCATGCTTCTTTCGCTTGACCGAGCCATGGTCGCCTTGAAAAAGAGTTCTGTTAAGACAATCCTGGATGTGTTTTCAAAGACACTGCGAACCCTGACCGATAACGCGCCTATTGTCCTCACGTTGAGTAACAAGGAAGGTGACACGCCCTTCCATTGTATGGCTAAGGTGATTCTTGACTGTACAGGCGAGCTGGAAAGAATGAACACCTATGAAGGGTACTTTGAGCATTTGATGAAAGAGTTGGCTCGTCTACGGGTCTCTGGGAAGGTCACCTCAGATGCAGCGAGGGAGCTGCTCCTTAAGACCAACAACAGCCAGGAAACATTTCTTCACATCCTTGCATGCAGGCATGGCGTTGGACAGCGTGTAATAAAAAGGGTCCTGAAAAACATCGAACCCGAAATAATGGATCTCTTGAAAGAAATCAAGGACGCCAACGACAAGACTGCGTCAGATCTAGCAGAGGATTTGTGTTCCTATGAAATGGCGGCTATTCTTCGGCCACGTGATCAGGAAGCTGGTCCTCCTGATTGGGTGGATGATGTTGCAGAGGATCTTCCTCAGATCCCTGACAGAGGCACCCCACGCGAGACCCCTGAGACCCCACCACCTACCTTGTTCCCCTCGAGCCCCGTTTTTCCAGACGCTGATGCGGCACGCGCGCGCTTGTTTGCTGTTAAGAAGGAGCCTGGCGTAGATGACACCGAGTTTGATGAAACTACGTCAGAGGACCCAGCCGAAGTAAATTCGTCGTCCAGTTCATTGCAAATAGCAGAGGATGCTGTTAAAATGGAGCCCAACGTAGACGATTCTGAGGACCCACCTGAGATTAATTCATCGCCTAGTACTTCACAAACAACAGAAGATGTTCAATTACCTGCTGTCAGTACTTCGCCTAATCATGCTAGCTCTTCTCCAACTCGGCCAACTAAAGAAGACGTGAACGCGATAGCTTCCGCCAGTGGCTCTTCTGAAAGCAGCGTAGCTGCTGCGACGGTGAATCACAACATGTCATCGAACATGTCGGCTCTTCCAGCTGTTCCAGGCACTAGCAGGAAGTCTGCTGGCACACCGACCACTTCACAAAGTCCCAATGGGTCTGCTAGTCATTCCTCATCTGTTTTAGCAGATCACAGCAAGAACAGCAGCAAGGGGCCGTCAATTATATCTAAAATCTGTAAATTCAAGAATTTGCCTCAGACCGACAAACTCCTGAACACATTGCACGCAAAGTTTCAAGAGCAATTGGCTCAGTCAGAGAAGGGCTTGGGAGAGAAAGAGGACGCTCTCGTTCGTGTTCTTCACCGGATGACCGAAGCACAGGAGCGAAGACAAAGGCTTCAACAAGAACTGGACGAAAATTTAAACGAAATGTTAGCGATCAAACAAGAGGAAGGTCTGTTACGGTCTGAAATTGCGGTACAGAAACGTGACTGTGAAAAGTTCAAAGCAGAACTGGAAAAGTACGCAGGGATTAGGGAACAAGAGAAATAGCACTTGGAAGATTTTCTAACGGAAAATCGAACATATAAGACGAGGCTTATTTGTAAGGTGAATTTCGGCAGCAATTTTTATTTTATTTTTCGAATGTCCATCATTATGGCTCTGTAAATTCCAAGCGTGCCCATCCGTCCCCCCGCGGGCATTTGTCATTTTGTTTTGGAAAAGTTGCGAATGCCTTACGGTCGAGGGCTGGGCGTTCATACAAAAACCCTACGGTGGGGCTTAAAAATAGGGCGCAAATGCCCCACCCCGCGACAACACCAAAATTGTATTTTCGAGTAAATAAGCTGCAAATACCACATTTATAAAAATCTCTAATCTGATCAAAACGCGTGAAGCGCCCTACGCAAATCGCCCCTAGCCGCCAGTTATAATTATTGCAAAAAAGATCGCATCCATCTGATTAATACCAATGACAGAACTGTAAACTAGAATTTTAATAATGCCTTTCTTATTTTCGAAGTCGGTTTATGTCAGTAGTGAATGATAAACAAACAACCGATGAGCTTAACATGAGTATTTTCTTATCACGATAGAACTCAGTGTTTCGTCAAAGCATGAGGTACTTGCCGCATTGATCGTACAATACACGAAGTTTCTATTAGCTTTCAAATATCTAGCAAAGTTTTTCCAGGCCTCTCTGCCTCAACCATTCACGCCCAAAGAAAGTGTCTTTTCCGTTAAACTCTCCAAACGATACATTGATTGTTTTCCTCCATGTGCGAACTGATCACGATGGCGGTAGGCAATTTCTTAGACGGATGCAAAATATCCTGCGGGATAAGTGATGGAGCGACAACCACACATGTCTCTTTAAGGCAAAATTATTAAAAATAGTCTTTATAGAAATATCTAAAGCCATCCAATAAGGCATAATTTTAAGTGAAATATTGGAAAACGAACGATGTTAATCGCCTCTCGAAGAATTAACAAATTCCCTACCGCCGGGACCGACAAGGTGCGAAATGCCCGACAAATGCCCTGGGGAGTATGGACACGCTTGGAATTGACTGAGCCATTACCTACAGAGAAATGGTTAGGGTCAGTTTATTGTAGAACTTCATACATACTGTAGCCAAGTACAAGCAAGATAAAGTATCCTCAATATAACTTCACCTTACAGTTAGGTTTCGTTTAATATTTTTGTATTACATCCTTGACTTCTGAGACTTCGGTGTAAATGGGTACGAACATAACTGGCAATTGTAGTGAGGTTTTTTAAACCAAAAACTTAGTTGTGTTCTCTGAAGGAGAACACATAAATTTCGTTTTCCTGTAGTTTTATAGTTAGAACTAAACAATCAAGTCATAAGAGGGCCATTGACCTCCTCTTTTGCTTTTGCCAGGGACATTTTTGGCCGAAGACACTGGCAACTACTTTATCTTCGGCCAGAAAACAGGTGTGAAACTCTCAGATTCAGTGTAGTGTGAGTCACTAATCTGTAATAAGTGCTAGTTTTTTTGTATAGGTTTGCAGGCAAAACCTCATTGAGTCTTCACAGTCTTCCCAAGTTTCTGTAGATAACTGAGCTTGAATATTATACACTAAATGTCAGATGCCGAGGGAAACAGTTAGTTTTGTTTTCCCGGGAGTCCCGATGTTTCCCGAGACGAAGTCGAGGGAAACATTAGGACTCGAGGGAAAACAAACTAACGGGTTCCCCGAGGGACCTGACATTAAGTGTTTTGTTATATTCCTAGACTTTCACTTCAACAGCAACAAAAGAATAACCGGAGCAAACCAAAACAGTCGACTCGGTACTTATAACAACACAAATGTAATTATCAAAACCACTGAATGAACGGTTTACAAAGTACTGTCCTTATATATTGTCGGCATCTTTTTCCTCCACTAGCTGCTGTTTCTCTTCTGGGATAAATTTAAAAGTCGTTGCTTTTTAGCTTGAGGCTTTGTGTTTGTGTTGTTGTGTTCATTCACGAAAAAGAAAACTGGCAGTGTTTTTCCCCCGTTCTGTCACGCCACTTTCCACCATGCTTTGATCACGTGCTGTAATGTATCCCGAGCGGGGATAAGAATCAACCAATGGCAGTTCCTGTTTAGTTGAGTGAAAGTCTAGGAATATAACAATACGGGGTATCTCACCTGACTTCTTAGCACACGCTAGTAGAGTGGCAGTTCTCATGATTTAGGATATCAACGGTACACAGGAAGGTCAAACGATGTACAGCTTGCATTTCACAACTCTTGTATTATATTTTGCAGTTTCGAAAATTAAAACTTTACTTGTACAAAAAAGCAATAGACGTATTCGGCTAACTCAATCTTGTACCCAATTCAAATCTCCCGGGTTTAAGATTCTTTGTGTACTGTATTTGCATTATAATGTTGCATTCACATTTAAATGATATGGAAATTCCTGAAACAAAACGTTTTATCCCCAAAGGGGTTTGAATTGGGTACAACATTTAGTTAGCCGAATAGGTCTATGTAGACCATAGTACAAAATATAGTCTACTCACGGTTTGACAAAACCAAAGTTCAAACCTATTGTATTTATAAGTTACCTTAACACCGTCTGTTAGGTCGTGGTTTGTAAAAGAAGAAGAAACAACTTTATGAAATAACTTTTAAAAACTCTTACTCTTAATTCAGCTTTTTATTTAATTCGAGCTTGCGCCGTTTAGCTGAACTAACCAAGATATTTTCACGTGAAACCCTTATGAAAAGCGTCACCCGAAATCCTGTCACGTTGTGGTGAGCAAGACGTGCTTTGTATGTAGCTTCTAATGATATTGCCATGTTTGGTTGAGAGTTTGTTTCGGTATCTTGGTTTAGTATTTTATACAGTTGACAGCATTGAATTGGAAAATTTTTGGAACACAAGCACAGCAGAGAAAATGTATTTAACAACAGATTTATGTATATGTTGTCATTTTAGCTGATTGCAATGTAATAAGTAAGTATTTTGATCTGTTTTACTGGTAATGCAATGCATTTCATAGATTCTAAAATATTTTGGATTGACAGTCAGAAAATAAAGAGTTTTTACTTTTTTATTTAACCTGTTGCGAGCATTAAACGGGACTACAACTGGTTGCTCGTTTTTGAGAGGGGTGTCTAACACAAATTTAAAATTGTAGAGGGGCGTTTATTAGACACAAGGCGTGTGTTTGAGAGAGGGCGTCTATTAGATCTTTAAAAATTGGCAATACACTTTTTTGGCAGCATGTTATTAAGTAAAACTGTGGCCCGGGGAAAGCCGAGAAGAAAATAAGATAAAAAAGATTTAAAGAGTTCGTTGGCTTTTACTCGTGACTAGATTTGACTCGTAATTTGGCTCGAGCTTGACTCGTGCTAGGTCTTTTAATAAGGCAGAGAACGAGGTACGGAAATGTGAAGTCTATTTAGCAGAATTGCACACTAGCCGCCATGTGTTAAGGTAAGTTTGAACTCAACAAAATGTGCCGCGATACACTCTCTAGCGTATTTACGACTAGCCTGTGCGGCGCTAAAGTATGAGAGGACTGTCCCATGATAGATCGAGGGGTTCTGGACTCTTGTTTTCACATCATTGTATACATATGCAGATTTTCTTCATCTTAATTTCACATGATAACATAGCCTGCGAAGCAAGCGTTTCCAGTCGAGTTATGGCGCGAAAGTTAGAGCGGGAGCAAAAAAAAAAAAAAGGCGTGGAAGGGGGATGGGGAGGTTACTCCTCCCCCGTCATTCCTTTTTTTTTTTTTTGCTCTCGTCCCAACTTTTCTTGACGAACTTGCGCGGAAACGCTTGCTACGCAGGCTAATCGGCTACTGACGCAGGCTAATGATAACAGTACTAGTTTTCATAGAGCGCAAGAACAACACGCGAAGAGGAGGCCCCTCCCCCCTGCCCCTCAAACGAAATCGGGGAGACCCCGTTTCAGGGCATGGGGTGGCTGTACACTGTATCCCTAGTTTTCAAGCTCGCACAGGGTCCTCACTCTAGGAACGAGGTTGCCTTGTTTCCTACTGACAGTACGTAGAATTCCCATTGGCGAAGAGCGCCTCTTGGGAGTTAGTCCGTCACCTCATGGCAGTATTTGTCAGTCCTGGGAATAGCGCTTTGCACCCATGGCACCGTTGCTAAAAATAGGTTTTTTCCCCTTAGACCTTCGGGCCCGCGTGACTCAGACAAACTTTGCATTCTAAAAGGCTTTGTATGAGCAACATGCGTGCGACGTTGTTCATAAAATTCGCAATGAGCGTTTTAAAAATGTTTTTGAGCTTTATTCTAATATATAAAAGCAGGAGCCGATGAAAACCTGGTCCAAGTAACTCAAATAAACGGTTAAAATGAGAAAGTAAAGAGACCTGATCAGAGAAGGCTTCTGTGTACTGAAACATGACATAACATAATTTCTGGCTGTGTAATACTCCAAACCGAAATTGCTAAAGGGAGAATCCAGTTTGTATGTGCTTCTCGCAAGCCTGTGGCAGAATTTTCTGAGCTAAAAAGCACACCAACATGAGGACAAACCGGAAATTGTATAAGTTTGTTCTGTTGTTGTGCGGCCAGGGGTCAATTTAATAAAACCTCTACACGTGTAATTTACAAGTGTAGCCATTGTTTTAGAGTCTGAGAACAATAGCTACATTTGTGAATTACACGTGTAAATGTTTTATTAAATTGACCCCAGGTAGGTGCCATGCAGTACTATATATCCTCAAAAAAATTGAGCAAACTTTGCCTATAAATTTCACTAAATGCACTGTTTTATGAACAGGTTTGAAGCCCTGTTCTCCATGATTTCTTAGTAACATGCCGTAACGTAACTATTCTTGGCACACGTACGTTCATTTTTTTCAGGATATATGTTATCGAAACCAAACTGGATCTTATTTCTTTCGACGATAAAAATCTTCAAAGACTACGAAAACGTGTTGGCGAACGTGACTCTCTCATACTAAACTCTTATAGTGATCAGGTTCAATACCCGGGGGGCACTTCTTTATAAGAGGTTAATGGGGATGTGCCGCTGGATGGGGTCGCATTTTCACGACTGGAGTGACTATAAGCTACTATGATGGGGTCGCATTTTTGATAGAGTTACTAGAATGGGGTCGCACACTTTCTGATTTTTGGGGTAAGAGAGTTCTTCATATTTACGGTTAGCAAACGTACCAGAATGTTTGTACTCTGGGTGAAAAGGTGAGGTGTTCTTTCAATTTAAAAAATGGATCCGTGCATTTTAGGAATTCATTTGGGATCGCGAAGATTACATATTTGCCTAAAAGTGACTAAGATGAGGTCTATAATTGGCCACAGAATAAACTATAATGGGGTAGGGGCTCTGAGAGGCCAGCGGCACATACCTAGCAAAACCAAGAGGCATAATTATAGGACTATTATGGCTCTTGGCAAAACGTATCCCAAGTAATCCCCCCGGGTTCAATGTCTGAGCCATAGCGGGGACCAGAAATTTGTGGCGTTAGTGCAAAGCGCTATTCGAAACTGTAAACCAAACACAACGCCAATTTTCGGGAAAATATCTGTTCAGAATTTGAGATCTAGAATTTTCAAAAGAAAATTTGTAAAATTTCTTGCTTGCCTGCCTCTCCTAGGATTTTCGAACATCTAAAAAATGGTATAATTGCCCATTTTTAACTGATTTTTACCCTAAAATGGTCACCTAGAATTTTCGGGAGCCTTTTTTCTGGCTGAAAATTTTCGAAAAATGTAAGTTTTGATCCCTATAATTTTCGGATCACTAGACTTTCAGCTAGGAAATCCGAACGCCGGGATGAAAAATTTTTAGGGGATAAAAATATGCCTACATCTACCGTTTAAATACTAAAATACGTTTAACAATGCTATGTTTAAGTGGCTTTGAACTATATTCTCGTTGGGTGCCCTGACACGTGGGGAATTTTTTCAGAAACAGGAGAGCTGTTTCAATCGCGCTTGCAAGAAGTTTTGAAAATTGGAAAGGAAAAATATGGAAATGATATGCTTTCTTCTTGCTGTACAGTCAGCCTTGCTCTTTAATATGATTATTCTTTCAAAAGGCGTCAAAGGGTTTTTGATTAAACAGAAAGCTATTGATAAGCAAATCATATTTCTAAAATGCAACAGTACAGCTAATAGTCACAGATTGAGTTATAAATGTGAAGAAGATCATCACAGCAATTATGGGCGGAACTTTGGCATTTGCGAAAAAAAGCATAAAATATTCCGGGAGTGGAACCTTTCTCGTGAACTCTGTGATGCCGATAACCAACTCTTCTCACAAGAGCCAACTGGCCGAGGAGCTACAATAGTCTTTACTTGTTTCATTTATTTCCGGGGTTCAGATAGTTGTTTACAACCTACAACGTTATGAGGGCGGAATACGATATTTCGGTTTTCAGGTCGTTTCAGTATCAGGAAGCAGTAACAATATAAAGCAAAGAACCGCCCGCAAAAGAAAATCTGATTTCAGCTACGTAAATAGGTTCTTTTGTTATGGAAATCTGAGGCTGAATTTACCACCTCTTATACTATGGACATATTTTAGCGTACAATTATAGCTTCTCGATCGAGTCTGTCCGAAACTAAATTCAGAGAAGATATCTCTCCCTGCGCGATTGATTGGAGTAGAGAGTATCCGGTAAGCTCCAATATGACTCAGATCTTGACATCTCGACCATAATTTCCATGAAAATTGCATCCCGGCGCTTTTCATCACATCGGCTATTGCCTATGCCAAACAGTTTTAGCGGAGCTCTCGCCCGCTGCGAAACACCGAGGGTAAGAAAATTTGGTTCAGTATTTGCATCCAGGGAATTTTCGTCCGAATGTACGTCCACCCGTTCATGTAAGCCGAGGTGAAATTTTGCGTTTCGGCGATAAATCGCATAACCCAAACTTTTAGAGAGAAAAATTTAACAACAACAAAGCTGAGTCTTTCTTTCGAATAAATAATATGTCTACATTGACGAAAGAGCTAGATCAAGAGGTATAAAAAAGCTAAATCTAATTCATTTTCACACATAAATTTAAAGACTGGACCCGGCATTGTTGAGGACCCGAGTCGGAAGGTGTAGCTAGAGACCGCACTAACAGGGTAGAGGAAAATAATGTTGAGATATGATGATGCCAAATGACAATATTTTTTTTCTTGACAGCTCCCTTTTTACCCTGGGACATTTTGTTATTTCCCTGAATCCCGCGCGGTTCAAAAATCCCGAACCCTACCCAGGAAAGCCCCGGATCACAGACATACTGGCCAATATAGGTAGCCAGTATACAAAGGTATTTGTGCTAAAATTACTGAACTTTCGAAAGTAAACTTCCGCACGTAAACTATACCGTACTGATGATAATGCACCTTTGCGGCAGAACGTACAATACATGGTTTAATCATCTCTCCTCCGACGACCCTCCAACTTCATAGCGTGATGGAAGAGCGACCTACGTCGAAGATTTTTGTCACTGCTGTTTTGGCGCTCTGTCTCGTTGGCTTGCATGTATCTGATGTATCGTTGCGAGAACAACAAGCGGAAAAGACATTGGATCACAATAGCCGTAATCGACAGAATCGAAAGCTTTTACAGTACAACACGAGCATGTATTCAAATCAGCGGGCGTCGTCGAAACCGAGACATGAACTACAACATGCCCTAACTGAGGTACGTAACAAGAAGTAGCTGTTACTTAACACTTCCTGTTTTTTTCATTTTACTTTGTATGCACCAAGGAGGGTCTTCCACTCGCTAAAACTGAAACAGTAGGAACCTTAAATGGACGAAATTGTGTCAGATTGAAGGATTTATTATCTATTTTTGTACATATTATCTTACATTTGAAAGTAGCTTTGTAATTCAGCCTCAGTCATATGTACGTTGTTTTGCTGCGATGAGTTTCTTTCAATGCACTTGCTCATTTTTTCCTGAATTCCACTCATGGGTTCAGTTCAGTCTGGCAGGAGAAACAATATTTGAAGGGGACATGAGGAGAGGTAGGGAGGAAGTATTCACTTATGCAGCGTTTTTTGTGTCGTCGTATTGCGTGAAAATCGCCACAAAAATGGCTGCGTAGGAGGAGGGAGGAAGAGTTACGTAATGCACATGATGATTGAGTGAACTGCATATTATCAAATAATGTGGTCGGTCAGACCCCTTGGAAGTTTGTGGATGCGGCCGTTTTTGTTTCAATTTTCACGCAACGTGAAGACAAAAAAAAGTGCTGTGTAGGACTCACTACTCCCTCCCTACTCCTCCTCCTGCTCCCTTCAAATATGGTTGGTTACTCCTTCACCAGACTAAAAGGTCGTATTGGAAATGAAAAAAATTTGAACAAGTGTAAAATAAGAGTAGCCCATAACCCTGACCACATTCCATTTAAAGTTCCTAAAATTTGTTTAGAACCTCTAGTAAAATTCATCTTCAAAAATTAGAGGTGGTCCACAGGGGTAGGGGTCCATGGACTGGAGGTCCATGTTTTGTATACATCCATTACAAAGCATGGGAACATGCATTGTGACTGGTTTATCCTTACACTTCTGCTTCCAAATCCGACAATTTGGTTTTCGCTAGATCATCAATTACAGAGTCATAAGCAGAGTCGGAAGAAAATGGAAACATTCTGATTCCTCTGACTTTGACCCAATGCGCTTATGACTCTACTTATGACTCCAATTTTTGATTTTCACAAGGTCATAAGTGCTCTTACAACTATGCTTATGATTCCGACTGTGATTCCGTTGCTAGTGAAAACCAGTCTTAACAATAGGTGAACTTTGTTTACCCAATAAATGAAGTAAGTTCGGCGGTTGATTCAGACATTGAGCATAAATAGTCGGACCAAATTCATTTTCACAATGTCAATGGTCTGCAATCATAACAGTGAAAATATATTATAGTAATTTATGCATTAGGTTCAGCACATGAGAAGTTCTATGTATGAAACAAAGTCGCCCCACATTTGAAATTTCCATGTGGTCCACTCAAATTATCGTAATTCATAGGTCGATCCAAATTAGATATGTTGAACCGTCGATCTCTTCATATACTTAATTGAGGGGATTAGGTTCAGTCCATGTAAAGATCAACATTTGAGGCGTAAGATGGTCTCCGTAAGGACCAGCCCTGACTGTCCATCTTAGAGAGGTGTCCAGCTTATAGAGAGTATCATCAATATTACAGAGTCATAAGCAGAGTCGGAAGAAAATGGAAACATTCTGATTCCTCTGACTTTGACCCAATGCGCTTATGACTCTACTTATGACTCCAATTTTTGATTTTCACAAGGTCATAAGTAATTAATATCTAATTTGGATCGACCTGTACACATCAGATATCGACTTATACACATCATATATTTTTCATAGTTTATGGGGTTTATACTTTTCTCTTTTTTCCTCTTTTAACCTAAATAAAACTGTAATATTATTTAATCAAAGGGCAAGTAATTAGTTTAACTATATCCTGCCCTCTCCATTTATTCTTGTAACCGGATATTTAATTCTACAAATAGCATCTTTAATTCTTCAATCTTGTAATACAACATAAATGGCTTGTAAAATAAATAAATGGAGGAAAAAATAAACAAACATAAACAAACAAGTATGAGGTAATGTGGCAACAGTAACATTATATGAGATATAAGGGTGAACCTATTAACACTTGAATACACACCTGTTTTACCTGTGCAAACCAGTTAAAACTGGAACAATGTAACAGAAAAGTGGAATCATTTTGTTGTTGTTCAATCAAACTTTTATTACAAGCAAATGTTCACAGCTCAGTTATCTAAAAGCGTAAAGCGTAACAGTATACACTCTTCGAACTGGAACAAGACTACAGTTAACCACATGTAACAAAAATACAGTGTTCTCTGTTTTCACCGTCACACCATCAAAAATAAAAATCAAAACCACTCAGTAGAAAAAGTCCAGAATCTGATGAAAGAAGATAATATACAGTATACATTTATGATTGATTTTAGAACACTCAAGTTAAATCTCCTGTAATCAAGCTGTTTAGAAGCTGTCCAAAAATATTTGATGATAACGAAAAAAGTGTATTAAGTAATAAATTGCATTTTTTTAACTGCAGGATTGTTCTAAACTGCGAAACTTAAACAGCTCAGAGGAGCGTTGTCACTTTATCAAGTCAACTGAGAGTTGTCAAATGGATGATGGGTTTATTCAGTACTTACAGATTCCATACTGTTCATTTCATGGCCCTGTTGCCTTGGCGTTTTTCTTTCTGGTAGGTAAATAGAATAAAGATGGACTAGAGGAGCCATATGATTGCTAAGTAGTGGGAGGCAAGAATTGTTGAGGGACAGAATTGCAGGCTACAGAAGGAAGTAATTCTCATATGTGGTTGTTAAATTTAACAACCACAATCACAATATGAGAATTACTTCGTTAAATGGGGATTTATAAAAGATTAGTAAATAAAATTAATGTACACCAGTCTTCAGATTTTCAAGTGGAACACCATAACCACTCAGAAGAGTTTTAGTCGTTGTCATCTAACACTTTTAAATTATAATGATACTACTTTTAATTTTACCATGAGTGTAATATATATAGCCATTAAATTTCTCTTTCACTGTCCATTTATTTCAAATCACTGTTCCTTTCTTATTCTGGCTAACCATGCTATACCAAATATGAACCAAGATAACCCACACTCAGTTATGAAAAACCATAATACTTCTATGCGCTTTGTGACTGGACAACAATTAAACAGCTTATTATGTTATATTTTGCAAAGCTTCCACAAATAATAATCATTCCTATCTATATGTTGATCCTTCTAGTCATTGTAGCTAGAGGTCCAGCTAGACTTTATTTTGAACAACTACTAACAGTTTTTAATGTACATATTTAGTCTCTTTGGTTGGTATTTCTCTTCATCATTCTGGGATTGACAGCTGATGACTAGTAAGTTTATCATGAAGAGATTATTGCATCTTGAATATCTTATCTTGCATGAAGTATTTTGAAATTATATTAAAATCAATATCAGCATGCATGGTATTTAAGTTAAGTTTCTCCAGACCAATTTGGAATGTGTATTAATCTGTTTATTTTTTATTTATGTGCATTTAATTATCTCTTTGATGTTAATAGCTTCTGTCCTTCCCTGATGGTGATCTCAAAGACACTTAGAATCAGTGAGAATATTGCAGTATCCTTTATATAGTTTGCAGAATGTTGACCTTTATAATCTTCTTTATTGGTGCTCTGTTTAATGTTGTTATGGAGTTGGTTGTCTTTAATCCATGGTAAAGCCAAATATGAAACAAAATTGTCTTGTACAGTAATATATGCAAAAAGGGGTGATAAAATATTGCTGAGCCTTTTTTCAGAAATCAGGTTAAGTAAACCCAAAATAATGATCACTGTAAAATTATGTAAAAGGTGTGCCCACAGTAAGTTCTCCATATGAAGTTGCCAATCTCAGCTGTTGAAGCAACAGAAATCAGTGCTTTCAGTTAAAAAGAAAAACAAAGTGTAATGCATGTCTGATCTCAAAGGAGTCCTTATGTTAGTGCCTGAACCCCCTTATTAAAAACAAGGAAAACTTGCAACAAAACACTGAGTTTCCAAGAACTTGTAGCCCGCACTGCAGCTGGCGGTTTGTTTGCTATGTGTAGGGTGTTGTTTTCGTTTGTAGTTTGTAAAGTTTTGAAAGGGGTCAATTGTTATGTTGTTTAATATCTCCCTTTTTGTGGAAAGGGAAAAGTTATTTCTTTTTTTTTCCATTAAAAAATGTGAGGTTGAAAAGGGTGCCATTTGCGGAAAAAAAAAATCAACGGGCCCCCCCCCCCTTTAAAACCCCCGTTTTTGACAAAGGAAGAATTTATTTAATTTTTTTCACTAAAAAAAAAATGAGGCAAAAAAAGTCACACCTCAAGGAAAGAAAAAATTTACTGGCCCCCCCCCCCAAAAAAAACCCCCCCCCCAAAAAAATCCCCCCCCCCCCCCCCCTCACCAAGCCTTTAGCTGTATTTTTAAATAAGTGCCCGGGCGCTTCTTCAAGGAAATACGGTATCTTCTTTTTTTCACTTTGAGTTCCTTGACTGTAGTGTAACTAGGGAGTGACATTTTTAGCCTATGGCAATGGTGCTCCTGATATTTTTAGTGCTTTGGCAGCTCTCTCTCATGCCAAGAGCTCGAGTGCAGTTCAGCTTGGAATGCAAGCCCTCTTTGGTAATAAATTTATCCAGTAAACCTTAATTTTATGTGTTGGAAGTTCATTACAATTACGTTTTTACAGGAGCTGTGTCAGAAAATTTATCAAAATTTAGACATTGGGAACTGCCACCAAACTAAGTGGAATATAAAAATAATAACTGCTTAAAACATGAAAAAATGTATAAACAACGCAGAAACTACAAAAGGAGGCACGGATGGACAAACTCAAAGCATTTGTGGTTTTTGAAAACTTGTTAGCCGAACAGTTTTTCAAAGTTTTTCATTGTTGTTGTTGACAACAAGTAAGTGGCAGTTTACAGTATTCCCTGATGAAAGGATTGTAATCAAAATAACAGGTTTTGAGTCCTGTTTTGGTGGCTTTTAACTAACCTTAATCATCATAAATCCACATCTCCCCCCTTTTTTTAGGTGCTGGTATGTTTGTCACAACAGTTGTGGTTGGTGTAATATCCTTTGTGTCGACTGTGACTTTGGCATCTCGTCCATTCACAAGAGATGTGTTGTTCTACTTGGGAGCTATGTCCTGGGTGTTTATCACCCTTTACAAGGAAAACATTACCGTGGGAGAGGCAATAGGTAACATGGCTAAATAAATTCACAATATTATTATAAAGCTTCAAGATAGAACATACGGACTTTTGTGCTCCAAGTTAGCTAAACAGACTTTTAAAGCACCGAGAAATTCATTTAGACATTTCAACATGTTAAGAAAGATTCGGTCGTTGGGTGCCACTGGTTAGTAATCGTAAAGTTCCGAAAGTAACGACCCTCGTTACTTTCGGATTTAGCAGCCTTCTCCCGATCGCTACTTTTGCAGGGTCGCTACTTTGGGGAGGCCGTAACTTTCGGGCAGATAAAACGTGTACCGTTCAAGGGCCGTACGAAGTTACAGAAATAATATCGCGACAAATGTGAAAACTTCCACACTTTTTATTTAGAAAAATCTATTTCATGTTATTGCTTTTTAAATAGAAATTCCAAAAAAATGTTCTATTACGGTATGGGTATTCACAGACGAAAGGAAGACACTTTAAAAAAATGTAATGTACCTTTAGAGTTATATGTCAAATGATCATTATAACCGTTAGAAATCAATCTCGGATGAGTTTAGTAAAGCTTGTTGTATCTATTATTTCCTTTATTTCTAGCAAAAAGGAAAATTACTTTTTAGGGCCCCTACTTTCAGGGGGTCGTTATTTTAGGTGGTCGCTAATTTTGGTATTTGCTAACATCTGTGAAATAGTTTATCGCTACTTTCGGAACTTTACGTAGCACAAAATGTTAGAATGGGTTAAACGAGTTACTGCAAATAATAGATGATTGCATGAAAGGCAGGTATGTGGAATAAATATCAAATCTTTGTTTCACAAGTGACCACAGCATTAGTCAGTGATTAGTAAGTGAAATGTCGATCTTCCTTCTGAAGTTTGGATTTACTTACGGCCACTTCTGACTTGCATTTCTATTGCGCACAGGTTTTATAGTATTTTACGTGGCTTACGTTCTTCTTGTTATCGTTGGCCGCTTTATCTACCAACGCTGGAAGAGGAAAATAGGAGCAATTGGTGAGTTTCTCTTTATTTAAATGTAGTATTTTAAATTCATTCACAATGCCACCTTTGCAAGACACTCCTCTTACGAAACAAAGTCTTTCAGCAAGACAGTCTACTTGTAAGTTGAAGTTAAATATGACACATATATCACTTTTAAAAATAAGTGAGATGTGAGGATGCTTTTAAGACCGGGCCCGTCCACACGAATCCGAACAGTTTTGAAACCATATATCTGTTTGACTTATTCGTGTGGACGGGGCCCTAGACACCTCTGGAGAGCGGTTTCAAAACAATGCGGTTTCGGTCAGCGGATTCACTGCGATTCGTGTGGACGGAAGATGTAGCCTAAAATTGCCTATAATGTAAGGGTCAAGCTAGACATTCTCATTGCCCGTTTCCGGTTTCTGCTGGTTATTTGACCCGTCGAGAAACGGACTCGCGACTTACGTCGCTGGCATTCGCTCGCTCTGCTAGTGTCCCTCGCACCTTCAGCGCTCACGCAGTCGACTTGTGGCAAGTCTAAGGTAAAGCCGGTACTGGCCGTTTTGTGTTTTGACCCCGGTGAATCCTTGTCCGTTGTACCGCTTACGATGTCAGTAGTGTTTAAGGTTATTGACAACTTTAACACTGAAATTGTTAAGGGGCATGGGATCCTTCAAGCAATACACCCAGTGAGCACAGTTTAGTCAAACAGGCCAAAAAATGTACAAAGAGTCCTGTTACATAGACTAGAAAATTAGAATAAAAATCTTGGTTCCCTACACATCTGTCAGCTTCCTTTGTAATATTTTCACAATCAAATGGGTTGTTGAGAAAACATTTCGCACTGAAATGAAGCCCAGTAAATGATCAGCTAGAGAAAAACAACAGAAGAGGACAGAAAGCAAAAGGTAACATTCTAGCTACTTTTTGTCGGTAACATTCGAAAGCGTAGTGCAGTTTTGGTTCATTTTTGGCCCAATATAGTGACCAGAAAACGGTTTGGCTAGCTTCACACGGCGTTTTACGGCATTGGCTCAACGGGTGGATGAGTTAGTTGTTCAAATTAAAACTGGTAACTTAATCATCGAAGATGATGATGTTGATGTGGATGATGGTGATGATGTTGATGTCGATGTTGATTTTGATGGTGATGTGATGATGATGATGATGATGATGATGTTAGTAAATTTTACCTTACTAGTTCGTAATCAATTTGTCATTTTGTGCTACCGCTTAAAGTAGGACTTATTGATTTGCATTTCTTTCCTATACACATTAGAGCAAAAATATCTCTTTTTGTTTTACACCGTATTTGCTTTTTAAATGTACAATAAGAGTAAATTCCCTAATAAAGCAAAGATTTATATTGATAAACAAAAAATAACAACATTAATGTGTAGTTATATAATTATGGTTTTGGATACCTTAATTGACAGACCGGTTTCTAGAGAGTGGTGATCATGTTGGAGTAAGACACATGAGACATGCAGCTGGAGAAAGCTCTGAGTCACTTATTGTTCCAGTCAATACCAATTCTGTTTCGTGTGATGTGAGCCCTGAGCAAAGCTTGAGCGCAGAGAATCTGGATCATACTTTGTCAGGTATTGCATTAATCATTTTAGGGAACTTAAGATCCGACCGTGGACGGCAATGGCAACTGAAAAGGACGTCAAAAAAGTAATAGGTTTTATAAGCAAATAGACTACGAGCCGTCTCTCTTTTTTCTTGGTCCGTCGAGCAAAACGCCCGAGACACGCAAATGACCACGCACGTGTCCTGGCGTGACTGAAGTTGCGAGACGGGAGAGCCCTCGTTTCTCGCGTCTCGCGGCTTCGCCGCTCAACGCTCGCGCGCGCGTGCACTCCCCTTACTAAATCTGAAGAAAAAGGTAGGCTGCTCGCAGTCTAATAAACAAAACAACAGCTTCGCACTTGCATCACACGTTTATTGTGCATTTCTTTGGTGTCACTGCACGACTTTTTATGAGCAAATAGACTACGAGCAGTCTCTCATAGTTTCTTGGTCTGTCGAGAAAAACGCCCGAGACACGCAAATGACCACGCGCGTGACTGAAGGCGCGAGTCGGGAGAGTCCTCGTTTTTCGCGTCTCGCGGCTTCGCCGCTCAACGCTCGCGTGCGCGTGCACTCCCCTTACTAAATCTGAAGAAAAAGAGAGGCTGCTCGCAGTCTAATAAACAAAACAACAGCTTCGCACTTGCATCACACGTTTATTGTGCATTTCTTTAGTGCACTGCACGACTTCGACGTAAAAATGTCTACTTTCACGTTTTATGGAGGAAGTAAACAAGCGACGACAAAATTCTTCTTTCTCTTTGTGAACTTTGATATTTTTCCTAGGGATTCAGCTTCAGTAAAGTTCTCCTACGTTTCAGAAATTAAGTGAGTTGGAATAATCGCGATGGAGATTGAAAGAGAGCGAATTTGCAACACGCAAAAAATGTTCCCTTACTTAAATCAAGAATGATTAGCGATTAAATGTTCCCTTACTTACCTCAAGAACGATTATATAAAAGAAGATGCCGGTAGTTTGTCTTTGACATGTATGTATGAGAGTGACAATAATATGAATAAAGATCTTACTCATGGGAAGATCTGGGTTTTTTACTCCTTTGTAGCAATTTAGCATGTACAATAAACACTTCAGCAACCAGAACAAATTTAAAATCCTGTCATAATTATTCCAACCATTATGTTCTCTTCCTTTTCATATAGGTTGTTATTTCAAATATTTTTCCCTCTAAATATTAGTTTACTACCTAAGATTGTGACTGAAGCTCATGCTAATGTAAAGAAAAAGAAAACGTTGCTTTGAAGCATTATGCAGTCATGGTCAAGTACACCCCTTTGGAACGTTCGAGTCTAATTTCCAGTCTGATTTGCTAGTCGGTATTATTTTTTCCCATTTATTCATCATCAATTCATCATCAAAGTTCATATGGGTTGTGGTGCTTTACTGCATAGTGCACATTTTCCCCCGGGCGCTCTATCATTTTATGAACCAAAAGAAACCCTGGTTCACGCACTCGTGCGTCTTGTTCAACTTAAAAATTGTTGTTTTTCATGTTTACGTGTTCCTACCGGTTGCGTTCACCACACAATTTAACCCACATTACATTTCGCTTCTGCCGCGCCACGGCCGGATTAATTGAAGTAAACATTTGCTTGATGGTTGTATGCTTATTTTTAATAACAGAACTGGTTTTATTTTGTTCCTTAGATGCTATGTTTGCTACAGAAAACACACTATTTGCTCCCGCTATTCACCATATTCCTAAGCAAGAGAGAATGAGCATTATCTCAGGTAAGAGTGCTACCCGTCTTTCACCAATCAGACTGATCAATCACTCACCTTTATCAGGGGCATGCACCTAACGACGTTTTTCTGTAAACTATTAAACGGTTCGAAGGAGCAAATATTGCATAGAAATTTAGTGTAAAGCTCGAGAAAAAATTTCTGAATAACCGTTCTATTCGTCTAAGATATTCGGAATTTTTCTACTAATTTACTTATTTTCTGAGGTTGACTTTATCACATTTTCGCATGAGCAAGATTTGCATGGGATTATTGTTAAAAAGAATATTTCCAACCGAAAATTAACTTGCCGTTCTAACTCCCTTTCTTTTTATAGTTATTGATTTGAAAGCCTGCTTGGCTTGAACATTCGTAGCCTGAGAAAACAGCCGATATCTTCTGATTGGTTAAAGCAAATTTTTCAACCAATCAGAAGCACTACCCAAATCTGGGAAGTAAGGCGTCATTAGTATGGAATTTCTGCGCTCGTTTCTCAGACGTCATTTCGTGGGAAAACCAGGGGTGCGTCGCGAAATGCCGGCTGTTTTCTTAGACTAGAGCATTCGAACGTACACAATGCAAGGAGGGAGTGGCCAATCTCCATCCTCAAGAAAGTCAGCTGTCCTCGTTGTTCACAGCTGACAGTGATGTATTTTATTTCATTGAAAAATAAACTGTTTCTTCAACTTGGCTTTTAGCTGAAAGATCCCCTCTCTTGGCCAGAAAACAAAAGATCAGTGAGTGGCAAAAGTTCCTGCAAGGACTGGAACCTTTTGATAGAGAAGAATGGAATCAAAGTGGCAATCTCTGGAGGGTCTTTATTGTATGTAAGGTAAGAATATTGTCACGTTTCTCCGTCTCTTTCTTCTTACAAGCTTGTGTATTTTGTCTGTCTGCACTCTTCCTCCTTGTTTGCCGACACTGAGCGCCAATTTTCATGTAATTCGGAGTTCTATTATGTTTTAATCAATCGGTTAAGAAATCAGGTTCGCGAGGACACAGTCGAACGATTTAGCTGCATTCTTTAGTTGTCAGCAATCTAATATAATTCTTGTTCCCTGTATGGAAATACCGTAAAATACCGTAAACCTCCGCTTATAACTCCCCCCCAAGTCATAGGCCCATCTACCTGTACACAAAAAAATACATTCGTTTATAAGCCCCCTCCCCACGCCCCTCTAGCTTTTACTGAAATGATTTCGATTTTTTACGACGTTTTCAAGCTTAAAAGAGAGAGTAAATTTCAAAGTGTATTTTGATAAGCACTACTACCTACGTAGCTTATTTTGAAACGCTTTTTTTAGTCCGGTCATAAGCCCTCCTGCATATAAGCTTATCCGTTTATAACAAGAGACTATAAAGGGGACAGAGAGGCCATCCCCCATATACACCCTATTCCATAGGTAATTCGTCTCGAGTTATTTTTAGAATCGGGATAAAGTTACCTCGCGCGAGGCGTGGATGTTTCGTGGAGGTTTCGCATGACCAAACGCCGTGCAAAACATGTCGGGCGAGAGGCAATGAAAGCGTAAAAAGATCGAGAGCATTCCTGAATATTGAAGCGAAATGAGTCGGCGCTCACCTGGGAAAAAGGAATCGCTGGACTCTTTGACAACCCGTGAAATCAGTTTAACTCGAAGTTGTCGTAACCTCAGTGCTTTAATAAAATGAGAAATTTCGCCGGTCTATTGAAACCGGTCGTTTGTACAATTTAGGGAGTTTAAGATCCAACGACGCGGACGACAACTAGAACGTCAAAAAAACAATAGGTTTAATTAGCAAAACAACAACTTCGCACGTGCAACACACTTTTTTGTTCATTTCTTTCCCGTTTTTGCACGACTACGACGTGAAAATGCCTAATTTCGCGTTTTATGGAGGACGTAAATAAGCAACGACGAAATTTTATTTCTCTTTCTGAGCTTGAATATGGTCCCTTGAAATTCAGCTTTAGGAGGGTTCGCCTACAATTGACAAAGTAAGTGGGTAGGAATAATCGCTATAAAGACTGAAAAAAATAAACATCAAACCAGAAATTGCTCTCTTCAAACTGTAAATTATAAATGATCCTGAGAGAATATTCAGTGTGTTAAGGATTTCCCTGCTCTACTGTTAGCTCTATACAAGAGAGGAAGGGCGATTCTTTTTTAATTTCGGTTTCGCTGACACAGCTTTCGCAGAAATCTCGCTGTAGTCGTTTTCGTCGACAAAAGGAATAACAAAATTGCTCTCCGCGTCTTCCCCCACTTTGTTCTGCGTCATTTCGTGAAGGACGCGTGGCTCTCAGCGTGGGTCATCCACGCGGAACACATTCGCGCTATGTGATTGGCTGTTGTCTAATCCCCCTTGAGATTTGTGGTGTTAAAAATAACTCGAGACGAATTACCTATGGAATAGGGTGTATATGGGGGATGGCCTCTCTGTCCCCTTTATAGTCTCTTGGTTTATAAGCCCTCCTACACCCCTTTACGAAGTTGTAGAAGCCCAGGACTTGTAAGCGAAAGTTTACGGTGGTATCTTCAAATTAAGAGCACCACAGAATGTTTTAAGATAACAAGTTTGTGTATTGTCCGCAGGTTCCTGCTGTACTTTTTCTAAATCTGACCATTCCAGTGGTAGACTATGATAAAAAAGATCATAATTGGAACAAGTGGTTAAACGTATTACAATGCTTAACGATGCCAGTATTTGCTGTTGTCGCAACAAAAGGTTGGTAGACGTTGCTCATAAGGAAAGATATTAATAGACCCCTTCAAGACTTTTTTTTCAACCTTTGACTTGCAGCAGTTAGGGAAAATTTGTCAGCACAACTGGAAACAGCGGTTTAATATTACTATACTTGCCAAGTTTGAACGTGATAGGTCTTAATAGTTGCAAACATTTACAGACGCACGTTTGTATGGTGGGGGGCAAATGTGTTTCTCCACCATACAAACGTCTGTTTCTGGCGTGGCTCTTTATCTGCAGAATTACAATTACACGGCTCTTTTGTTTATATTTTACTTTAAATGAACAAATCCTTGAAAAGTAAGTAAATTACTGTAACTTTTCAGGGGTTGATTTGTTGGAGAAGCAGAGGCCAAGTTAGTGTATGTTAATCCTGACCCTACTCGGTTTCTTGTTATCCTCAGTTAGTGGTGTTATGATTGGTGGAAGGTTTCCTGTTTGGGCGTTGGCACTGTGTGGTGGACTTCTACTTGCTGTCATTGTTGCCATGACAACTAGGAGTGACAGACGGCCATCTGGCCACTTTGTAAGTATCTTCAGCCCCAAACAGCTTTCACGAATAAAATTGAATTCCTCTTGAAGCGGTAGGAAATGCCCCAGCGCGGCTGAGAAATTGCCTGTAAAATGAACTCGCAGAGTTGTACAAGCAAACATTGAAAGGTTTATTGGTTTTAGAACCTCCTATTAAAATTTCCAGACGCAGTTTAGTAAGCTTTGACAGTATGTACTGTGGACTTGTGGACTTTTCAGTCTTTACTAGTACTTTCACTTCATTAGCAACATCGAGGTTAATTAACCCTCATTGGCCTCTGAAAAATTTTTCCCTTATCCTGAAATAAGGCAAAACATAGCTCGTCAATTTGATTTGATTTTACTTGTTTCAGATTGTGGTGAATTAAAATCGGACGCAGGATATGCCGTGACAGCCGCCTTTTGGTTTAGTGTTACACGATGTGCCATTTGCAATAAGATTATGCACTCAAATCGAGCGATACAATACACACTGTACGTAATGTCTGTAAGAGCTGTAAAAGAAAGTGAATTCAAAGTTTTACTTCGTAAGAACATGTACTCTGCGATAAAAAATATCGCGGGCATCATAAGAATGGAAGGGATTGTAATTTCAAGAAGTTACAATTACCTTCCTGGCAGAAATCGTAAAGTGCTTGTTTTGTCTTTTTAGCTGTTCGCTTACTTGGCATTCATTGTATCAGTTATCTGGATCTACACGACAGCGAACGAGATTGTGAACTTACTGCAGGTGAAGTTGCATAATTAACCCTTAAAGCGTTAACAATGATCCGCCCTGCATCATTTTCTCCTAGTAATATCTATGGGTCATAAAATATTTTGGTCACGAGAATTAAGGAATCGATCAGATAAGATGAATTTAGTTGACACTCTAACAACCTCTCGCCATTACTTCTATAGGAAGTGTTTATCAGGGTGTAAAGGGTTGAAACATTGTAATCGCGAATAATAGTCACGTGACATAGGTGTATACTTCATCTCTTAAACTTGCTCATGAAGATGATTTTAAGTACAACCTGGGTTTCCCTTTCATTGTTCTTGAAACATAATACCCCGACCAAAGTACCCAGCTAGTAACTAACAACTTAGCCGCGAGACGGGAGTTAGATTGAAGGATGCGTCGCATGTTATGTTTGTTTTTCAGACCTTTGGTATCGTGTCCGGTATGAGTGATGCTATTCTTGGCCTGACTTTTCTAGCCTGGGGGAACAGCATCGGTGGTAAGTTTCTTGCCTTAAATAACTAACAACTTAACTTGTTACTTGTGGAGGCGTTTTGCGGTTAACACCAGTCGAACTCCCGATCTGGAGGTCCGGGGTTCAAGCCTCGCCCTCGCGTTGTTTCATTAGACAAGGAACTTTACTCATCTTTGCCTCTGTTCACCCAGGTATATAAATGGGTAGCGGCGACATCCCATCGACATTACCTGGGGATAACCCTGCGATGGACCAGCATCCCGTCCAGGGAAGAGTAGCAATACTCCTAGGCATACTTCATGTTAAGGAGACCGGGATAAGCTCCGGCCAAGGGACTTGCAAAATATGCTTGCTATAACGAAGTTTCGTTATATCGAGGTTCTTTTTCGTTTATTTTACTTTCCCTGGGGTGAGAAATTTGTCTTTACAACGTGGACTTTGTTATAGAGTTTCGTTAAATCGAGGTTCCACTGTATTGGTGTTTGCCTGAATAACGTTACCTTTCCAACTGGATTTGTCCACCCTCTTGGCTGTACTGTACAATAGTTTTGCCAAAGAGGTTTCGTTTTCGGTCAGTAACACTACACCCCAGTCAGTACCATTCTCGAACGTGTGTGTGAACGTGAGTGTTTTTAACTATTATTTTGGTTAATTCCTCAGATTTAGTATCCAACACGACCATGGCGAGACAGGGATTTTCTCGTATGGGTGTATCAGCTTGTTTTGGAGGTCCTTTGCTTAGTATCCTTTAAAAAAAAAGCGAGAGAACGACAAAAAGGAACTTTCGACTTGCTCACTAGTCGACATTTGAGCGACGAATTCACGAAAGCGAGCGACGACATTAGGCTCTTCATAGCCAATAAATCATGGACTAACTGACAGACGACCAATAACATCGCGACTTAATTGACCACTCCAGAAAATACCATAACATACCATAATGCTCTTTGTTTGTCAACCCAATATTTTGCATAAGCATTGTTTTCAGTTTCTCTTGGGGCCATTTTAACTCCCAAGAGAAACTGAAGACAATGCTTATGCAAAATTTTGGGTTGACAAACAAAGAGCATTATGCTATGTTATGGTATTTTCTGGAGTGGTTAATTGATCAATCAGGTCAATAACCAGAGTTAAACACGATCAACTGACGTGGTACGACTCACTTTGCCTCTAAATTGCCGCACACATAAAGTAACGTCAAATCGGACGTTTTTGTGTATGATTACTCCTCAGTTGTAATAGTTCTTAACTCCCTGTAGATATGCTATTAGGTATCGGTATCTCCTGTACATACCTCACCATATCACGTGGACATGCAATACCGGTAAGTAGCTCATGTTTGTTCATTGGATAATTTATTTATTAAAAAAAGATAAAGTTATACAGTATCGTATGCCCCGCAAATAGCTATCAAGCTGATCTATTTCAATAATGCATATTTATCTCGGTTTCGTATACATACTACTGCGGAAAAATTTAATGCTGACGTTTGGACGTAACCGGCTAAAACGACTGAGCCCTCGACACACAAAAAAAACAGTACGTGCAAGTCACTTTTCTAGTCCCCGTACGGAGTCTTTCCAGGCCTTCTGGGTCAATGCATTTCGGTGACGTGTCGCTCAGACCACGTGACCCGAAATGAATAGGCCGCGCGGAAATACTGAGGCCTAGGGGCTAGGCAAGCAAGCCACTAAGGAAGGCAACAATGGGTGACAAAATTAGTTGAGACATATAACCTACAAGGTTATTTATCACCTTTAGCCGACACTATCTGTTAGCAAAAGAGAAAAAGAAGGCTCTCCCTCCCTCAGTCCCTTTAAAAAATGATGTGCAGCTGTTTAAGCTACATGTTAGAAACATCATTAAACAACCCGACTTTGAATGGGAAGTCGAAGGGATCCAGATTGTTATGTTCTTTGAAATATACCAGCCCTATTTGACGACAATTTTTGCTGCCCATTGAAGTTACAAGAAAAGTCTTGAACAGTTGTGCTGTCTCAGTTTTGTCTACTTTCTGCGCCGAAAGTGTCTTTAGTGTTTTTAAACAACAATTTATTCAAACGCCCATTTGCACAATGAGGAGATCTGTCTACAACTACCAGAATCCTTCAGAATTCATATTTTTGTGCAAATTGATCCTGTTATTGTTTAAATATTGAATTTAAATAAGAAAGCAAACATTATGAACTCAAATGAAGACATTTTGAAATGACATTTGTATCTAGTTCAATAATTTATGTAACAGCAATCTTCTTTTGTTCTTTCTCTATCCAGTTACATCACAACTATAATCAGTACATAATCTCCGCGGGATTCCTCGCCACCAGTCTTAGCTCGTCCGCCATCATGATTCCTTTGATGGGTTTCAAAGTACCCCGGATGTATGGCGTATATCTCATACTCTTGTATATAGCTTACTTAACTACTTCTATTGTAGCTCAAATTAAGCATTTTTGATGTAGAATATAATTCCATTCTACAGTAAACTAAGGTATATAAAATAAGATACTTAAAACTGTTATCTTAGGGCGAAGAGTCAGGCCTGGCAGACCAGACCACTCAACTTGACATTGTCGAAATTTCGCCAAACTTATCACTGGTTTGCATACTATTTATGAATAGACGGATCTAGTTAAATAGGCCTGACTTATTGGAATTCTCTCTTGGAGTTGACTGGTATGACCGGGCATGTCTGATAAGTGTTTAGCGCCTTAAGAAAGATGCGATAAGTGTTATATTTGTTCCTTTAAATTAATATTTTTATGCCCACAGTGGTGAATGGAAGTGCTATGAAATGGTATTGAACAATAATGTAAACAATTGTTATTTAAAGTTATGGTATTTTAAAATTATTCTTATCGTGGCCTAATGCCGCGAACTTTTTCTAACTAAGTTTTTAGTTTTTAGGTCAAAAAAACATTTAATCTTGTTCCCTTTTTCCCATTGTTTTCTTCAGCAAATGGCAGAAGTTTTATAGTCTAAATGAACATTGTAATTTAGTTGTAAAAATTAGTCTTTTTTAAAGACGGGTTCAATTTTCGTCAATTTAGTCTCGGAATTCCTCAAACTGGAACAGATTTTTTAATGCTTTGAATGTTTGACAATTCACAAAATGCAACTTAAGGAATGTATTGGTGTCTAATGGTATTGTACACAAACATTTGTTTTTATTGACATGAGCGACCACCAAGTCTTGACATTGTGGGTGGTCAAGCCTTACGAGAGGCTTGCCTTTAGTTAGAACTAGTTAACCTCAGGTGTTCCACTGAACCTATTAAGTTATAGTAGTTGCAGTACGGTGTTTTCTAGTTGTCACAGACTGCTTTCCATGGGGTAGGATGAGGTATAAGGCTGAAAGAATGTAGTTTGGGCGGGGGAGGAGGGGGGGAGCGTTAATCCGTTCCACAATTCGAGTGCTCAAGAACTCGTCAAAAGACCTTGGCTAAGTTGGTCGAAGCCGGCCAGTTAGTGATTAACCTGGGTTAACTGCTAACCGGGTATATCAGTTACTGCAAGTTACTGTCAACTTAAATCAATTTTAAACAGTTAAAGAGTTTGAAGAGAGTAAGGGGGGAAAGCAAGCTGCCAAAAAAAGGCAAAAGGTCGTACTAATTTTGTCAGCAAGCCAGTCGAACACGCTCAATAAGTTGTCTATTTTTTTATCACAGAAAAAGAGAGGCTGCGCGCCTGGTCCTCTGTAAATGAAAGGCACTCGTTCTAAACGTACATCTTAAAGTATTTTTTATCAAGAAAATGAAAAACAATGTATTTTTTCATGCATAATTAAAAGTTTAAACAATTTTAAATTTGTAACCATGTCTTGTTTAAAAGTGTCCTACGGAGTCGATATTTTTCAGGCTGGGGAGGGTTGCCTGACCAGACAAATAACAGCTGCATAGGAGTAAAGCCAGCGAACAAGGGTCCTCGGCAGAGGGTGTGCCATAAACAGACGGACATACCCCGACAGATAAACGGCTTTTATTTTCGCCTAAAAAGCTGAAACAGGATTGTCTCTTAGAAATGTACTTTTCAGATTAAGGTGATCGAGATCGCAGTTTAAGCCTTAGTGAGAACTACAAAATAAAGGTCAACCTGTTACGTTCATCTTCCCGCACATCTACTAGAAAGGGCCTATGATTTATGTAATGGTTCTTTACGACCACTTGCTGTTGGTCCAAAAACTTTTTGGGGAAAATCCATAGCCGGACTGTTGATTACTTGGTTGAATTCAAAAACATAATCTGTGCATTTCTTTCTGTGAAAACTTAAGACCGTTCAGTCTCCCTCGTCTCTGGATTGGGCAAATAGTAGGGCCATTTATACGAGAAAAAATAAGACGCGAACTTTCCGTATAAACAGCACATTTGGTCTAAAATAAGACGCGGCTTAGGTAAGACGCGTCTTATTAGATAAGACATGCTCGTATAAATGGTACAGTTGGCGTCTTATTTAAGACGCGTCTTATGTTAGACGCGTCTTATTTTTCCTCGTATAAATGGCCCTATTGTTTCCTTCGTTTTGTTCGTCATAGCCTGAGAATACAGTAGTCCCTCCTCGTTTCTTGCCATGGGGAGACGTTTCGTGAAATGTCCCTGGCGGAAAAGAGCGTACCCTGCTAGCAGAGTCGCTTCGATCTTTCCTAGATCTAGGAAAGATTGAGTCTGCTAGCAGGGAAAAGGGGCAAGGATAGACGACTTTATTCGCCGTCTACTTTCGTAGTACAGTGGAACCTCTCCGTATAACAGACGATTTTCTTTATCCCATGTGATAGTAAAATATATGGAAAAGTAACTCGATATAACGAAACCTCGCTATAGCGAACCAATTTTGCCAGTCCCTTGGCACTTCGTTATATCGAGGTTCCACTGTAAATAAATTCAAAGAATCTGAGATTGAGAATCTTATTTGGATTCTACTGAAAAACGTGCCCTCAGATGGACTGACGCCAGAGCCGATCGGCTCCTGCGGCATAATCTGAATCTAGTTTCCAATCCCTTTTACTCGAGAGGCACTTCAGATTATTCTGAACGAAAATTAAGAGTACTAGATCGTGCTTCCGGATTGATTGATTGATTGACTAAAAGAAGCGATTAAACTAAAAAGGTGTCCTGCTAAGAGAAATAAGCACTTTGTACAAGCAGTTTGCTTTCACCTCCCTTGCTGAATCAGCTAACGGCTTGAGTGGGTTTAAAGGCCGTTTGAAAGTTGTAGACCTTGCCTGCGACTAAAGCCTGCGACATGAATGATAGTTTATGGTTTATACAAAACGAGGAAAATGTATGCGTTTGGACAGTATATTTCCCAGACGGGCAACACGCTGCTTCCGTCCCAGCAGCAAGTTTATTGACGAAATATTAACAAAATCGCTTTAAACAAAGCTTTTATTATCACTTTCATTGAAGCTCAAGTTCATTAAAATGCGTTCAAGCAAGAGATTCTTTGAGCGACTTTAATTGTTAAGCCAATTTAAAACCGACCTCGTTCCTATGGGATTAAAAAAGCGGCGAATAAACTTGTTATCACTTCGTTACCCGAACCAAAAGCTACGTACAAAAGCGGAAAAATAGTCTTCATGATATGTCTTTCATAACCGTCAAGTTTGGAGGTACGTTTTTGAGATCCAACTGCGATTTATTTGATGTAAGTTTATTGTAAAGCTTGAAGAAGTTTGTCTTAATTGCTTTTCGATGCAGATAACGAAGAAGAATTGTTTAATCCAAACTGCGTGACGGTAAACTTGCTGGACAACCTAAGAAGACGTTGTGGATGTCAAAAGGGAGGTTGGTTTATTTTCCGTGTGTTTACACAATATTAGTTCTATTTTGCCAGGGTATTTTGTAGTTCTAATACACACATATAATGAGGTGTAAATCGGCGTTGCTCGAGTATTAAATCAATGTTAAATAAATTTGTGTTTACATCAGAATACTTGGAAACAGTGTGTGTGCGGCCGATCAGTCTGTAAAACTGTCTGTAGCCTGAATTAGCCTAAGGCAAGTTTCGGGGTTTGAACGGATAGGAATTTCGCTTTGACTAACTGCATCTACTGTGCATAAGGTCTTGCAGACTTAGTTCTTTGTTTTTGGCGGCATAAAATCAATGACAAAAGAAATGGTAACAACTGAAGTGGAGTATAAAAGTTTACTGCCCACAGTACAGTGTAACAACAGCACCCAACTCGAACTCGAAGGACAGGTCTCAATCCCATGATATCTCGACCCCTATTGTCTAACCGTTTATCATGCCGTTATCATGCCATCTCTGGCTCTGTTTCCTTATATTTAATCATTATTCTCGCTGTATTAAATGAACACTTTATTAGTGTCCGTGATGTAGACAGCCCGTGACATAACCTTGTCATATAAACAAACAATGCAGTAGTTGTCCCTTCCGTAGTACTGTCAGTTGTGTGTTTAATAGCAAGCCGGAACTGCCTGAATGTTTGATGACAAGTTGGCTCACTGTTTATTCTCGGCCGTCCGTTCTAGTTTTAAGTGTTTACTTCACCAACATGCTGCTTTGACTTAACTGGTCCATCGTGAAGGCACCCCTTTCAAAGGATAAAACGAATAAAAATTTGCCCCTTATCTTTTTAAAGTCCTGTCAGTAGAAACATTTAAGCCAGGAATGTCCAGAATGTGCAGCACTAACGTTTACAAAAGTCGGTTGAGTTTGATCGTCCGGGTGAACGTAGTCCTGACAGTGACTGACGTTTCGACAACCTGTGCGGTAGTCATCATAGAGTCTTACTTTTGAAATGACTCCTGGGTTCAAACCTTTCACACTGACGTTTACGTATGGTAAACATTTTCCCAAGTTAGCCTGAACATCTTCTTACATAAATGTTAATTAGCACAAATTTAGGCTATTTAGGTTCGTAAATTGGTTCTTGTTTTCTGACGACAAAAAAAAAACAGTACATTGTAGCTGAGAATATTTAGTGGTATTCAGCTCATTCCTTATACTAGGTAACACCTGTAAACCGTTACAATTGCAGCAGAGCCGTAGCTAGCGGGGGGGCGGGGGGCAGGGGCAGGAGGGGTAGCTGCCCCCATGGACCAATTGAGCCAGAAAAATCAAGTCTGTGGATGGATTTGTTTTGATTGTAGTGACTTGCAATTATTTGCTATTTTTATGGCCGAGAAATTAAGGCACCTATGTCTCCAACGAGGATCCTGGACGTTGACTGAATTGTAAAGAATGAGTGTACAGAATTCTTTTATAGATTTTAGAAAATAACAACCTGTTTCAAATTTTAGGGTAAACAGGTTTTTGTGTAGAGGAGGCCTAACTGGCAATTTAATTGGCCCAACAGGTTCTTAAAAACCAGGGTCTTTTATAGATAGTCGCAGGTTTTTACTGTATTTCATGTGCGCCGACTGCCGATCGAGGATTGCTTTAATTTCCTTCAGTTTGACCGCTCTCCACAACAATCATAATTGTCTCCATCCATTTACTGACTTACTGTTAAGTCAAAATAAACAAGAATTGTATAATTGTCACCCTGCTCTTCATGTAATCTCTATATATTGCTTTAACGTACATATATTTTTATGTTACTCTTTCAAGATTAATTGCGTGTTTGATTTGTGCTTCTTTGCTTTATAGTAACTTTGGATTTGTCTGATGAAGACGGCGACATTAAAAATCTGCATGAATTTCCCACTCAATACGCTCACAGATTCCTCAAGGGAAGAGAAGTTTTTGTGCTCGTTAAGGTTGAAAGTAAGTTCCATTGAAGTGGCATAAATGCCCTGCGATTTTCGTCCCACAAACATTTTAAATCAGCAGCATTCTAGCGCTTTAATGGGTAAACTCAGAGTATGTTGCAGAAAGTTAAAACCCTCACCACAAAATAACACTCACTTTGAACTCACACCGCTCTCGCTGGAAAGAAAACCAAAGCCTTCAATGTTTAACTTTTGTAGTCGCCGATAAAAACAGGAAGTAGCCCCGCCTAGACAGGGAAAGTGTCCCCGGCCTCTGCTCTGATCTGTGGTACGAGGCAAAAAGCTAAGGGAGCGCAGTTTGCGAACAGCAAGCGGCTAGAGGCCAAGCCGCTTTACGGCCTGCCTTTATGTCCGCTATCGTTCGTTCGGTCTATTCCCCGCCCGGTATTGCCCAGCTTTTTATAAACGTGCCCCGACTACGTAGATAGTGAACTAATTTTCCAGAGCTGCTTCCAAGAACCCGACCTGATGCATGTTCGCCTATTTTCTGATATACATGTATTTTTCTCTATATTTTATTTATATATCTGAAATGTTTTGCAGTACACAATAAATTTTTGTTTGTGTCGGCACGAGTGCGAATAGAAGGATACAAATTGTGGAATCGATAATTCAGGGCGAAGGTGTTTTCTTTAAATTGCACGTTTTTAATCTTCTGTTACCCCAGATTGTAATCTTTGGTCAGGTAAACCAGTTTTTAACCTTTTAAAATGTAACAACTCCCATATAAGACTTATTCCATATTTGGGTTGGTTACTTTTTATCTGTCTATTCAGGCAGGTTGCATTTTTCAGTTGGAAACTTGAAGTTGATTTTAGCAATTTTTCTTGTTTTCTGTTTATCCACAGAAGGCGAAGGAGATCAGCCAACAACGTATACAGCGCTGCTAAACGACCTGGAGAGATCCAACCCGAAACTACTGGGTACGTTAAACTGTGCTGATCTGTGTTTCTCTGCCTAGTTAATGGGTCAGTTTTACATGTGCAAAAGCGGTTTCAAATCAAATCCTTTAACTAAGTATGCTTTTACATAGCTCATTGCTCTGACTTTGCGAACTGCCCCGAATTAGCTGCACCGGCCAGGGATGATTTTAGGGCGGTTTCATGTAAATCCATGCAAGCTTACCGGATCACATCCGACATGTTTGATAGCCTGTGTGGGGGAGTTCGAAGGGAAGGAAAAGAAGAATTAAGGTGCGCATGCGCTCGAGATGAGCGCCCTTCCACTTCCACTTCCACTCTTCTAACTTCAACTCCACCTCGTTTCCAGGGTTCTAAAACTCGTCCTGAGTTCAAGAAGGAGAGAAACCTAGCCTCCAAAAGAGGCCACTATTTTCTTCAACACTACGAAAGAGCCTTCTATGCATTCACTGTACCTGGATGCTGCTTAGCAATTGAAACGATCAAATGTAAAAACTTTTTGTTGACAAGTTAAGGGCAGCGATCGGCGACGATAAGGATTCGTCAGTTAAGTTCCTGACCAGGGTTTCTTTTCTCTCCTTTGGCTGTCCCAATCGAGGTGAAAGAGACTTCAAAACCAGGCTTTGCCAACCGGTCACAAACTTTTAATGCATTTTCATTTGTACTTCAACAGCTCGATTGGAAACGCTATCAAAGTCTTGCTCTGATGCCAAACCCAAATCTGGACAAAGAAAAGAGTCAATGTGGACCCAGGCTGCTAAGATACGCAAATTCGCAAAGGGAGTATCCAGCGCAGAGCGCAAAAGAGCAGATTCTATTCCCCCCTCTAGAGGAGACGGTAAAAACATTGGTACCACTCCATCTCCGCCAGGGAAATCCCGGCAAAGAAAAACATCTAAGAACATGTAATATAAAAATATATTTTTTAAATAAAAAGCATGGTTTGTTTACAGCTGTGGCTGTTCTCTGTTCTGTTTTTCAAAGTACAAAATCACTTATAAATAATTTCTTAGAATATTGCTTATTCTCATATAACCGAACTAGACAAAAAATCCACAGTTAACTCACCCTCGGAAGAGGCACTTGCTGGAAAGCTGGTTCTGCATTGTTACGTTCGTGCGATTGGCTGAAAACTAGCGCCAGTTTCTCAACCAATCAAAAGTAGAGGAAACTGGCAAGTCATGACCTTCGTACTTGCGCTTTCCTGCTCTTGGCGCTGGTTACACTTTCATTTGTTGGGAAAATCCTGAACGATTAGGTTCTTCACAGTTTTCCGACCGTCCCAGATTTTGTCGATATGTTAGATAAAATCCCCGCGTCTGTCCCAGTCGCCATTTTGTTTTACAGAGGTTTGGGCCCAGTAAAATTGATCGCCCATCAATTCAAAGTGGACAGACGGCAAATTATAGTAGTTGCTAAAAAATATATATCTGTGTCGCAACTGTTCATCAGCAGGATGCCTAAAATGCGTTAAATTCCACAATTACCGACAGTAAAGATTTTAAGTTTTTAAATGTCGTGAATGATCGCCGACAATGGCAGAAATCTGGGACGCGTCGGGATTTCGAGTTTTCATTTGAAATAGGCAAATTCTGACATGGTCAGTCGACATGTGAAAGCTAGGCAGAAGGGAAGTTCAGCATACTCTTCAACAATAGCATGACAGCCAATAAATGTTCACCGTTACGTATACAACGTGGACCAACAGAGAAACATGTAGCGGCCTGCAAGGTAGGTTCTTGCCAAAATACAGTAGGACTGCGGTAACACGAACTCTGATGGGAAACGAAAAACAGTTCGAGTTAGCGGGCTAAATTCCTGTGAAATTTTGATCAAGAGAAAGGAAATTTAGTTCGAGTTATCGGGGTTCTGCTGTAGCACTATGAGAGAGGGGGGAGAACTTGAAATGAAGTAGTTGATGAAATAATACCACCTTTAGACTGGCCCACATGTCGAAGTAACAAAGCAGACTAAACGGAGCGCAAATTTAGCGTGAGCTCAGGGAAGTACGAGATATAGCAGCGCCGGGACAAGAAGCTTCTAGGACAGTCTGTTTTGAAATGTCACGAAAACATGCATTATGACGGAAAGGACACAAACATAAGTCAAGGCATTTTTTATTCCTATGTTTTAAAATAATATACCTAAGTTTAAAACAACCCACAGTAACTCACTTAGAGGCGCATTCCTCGCATGAAAATTGAATGGCAACGACAATTTTGTCTAAAAACAACTTATGGACATCAGTCGGTCGCAAAAGTGCTTAGAAAAGCATTACCGACAAGCGAGTTTTGCTCCTAGATAAGACTTACGTACACTAAACAGCCAAAACATTTCACAGAATTTTAAAATTCTCGGGCACAAATGATAGTTCATATTTTCTCTAATGGCAAAGTTGATACAAGGCTACATTCTAGCAAGCTCACTCGATTCTAATAGGGTGGAGTCAGTAACGTTGAACAACTGGAAAACCCCAAACCCCCCTTCATGGTTGGCAACTAAGAGTTACAACGTCCACTAATGAAATAATGGACATATGAAAATCAATGATTATAGGAAAACAGTCTAATACTGTTCATGTGTATCATTAAGGCTAGGTTCACACGGTAATGGACGAATTTTCAACTGGCTGAAAAACATGACCGCAGGGCTGTCATTAAAAGGTGGGGGGGGGGGAATTTCCCCCGGCTTCTTTCATAGGAAAATAGAAGAAAAACAGTTCTACCAAAAGAAATCGCTAGCTGTTTTATTCCCCGCCTACTTGTTGTATTTAGCCGGCAACTTCAAATCTTAGTGATGGTCCTGCTTGACCAGACATTTTCGCTTTGTTCACACGGAACTTTGAACGGTTAAGCGTCTGAATTTTCGTACAGTGAAGGTAGTTCCGTTCGAACGGCACACTTAAACGCACGAATTTTCAGCCGGACGTAAGTTATGTTACAAGGCTCTTGTTCATTACGTTTGTTAGCTTCACTCCCTCAAGGCGTACTGTAAAAATGAAAACAAAACCCTTTAAGTTGCCAACCATAACCGGAAAGCTACCATACAGCTCAAACTACGACAAGGAGCGGCTATATTTATGCTATGTGCCTGAATAACCAAGTCCGATTCCACTTTTGCCTCCAGCACCCCTTGATAACTGAAAGGCGCGCGATCGTTCAAACTCTGCCTCCAGATCTGCCATAAGTTTTTCACTCTGAGCAGGCTGAGCGGGTCCTTCTTGATCACCGGTGCTGCTGCTTCCATCACCTTTGATACCCATCAGACGCCGGAATTTAGCTTGCATCTCACCTCCTTGGTCATTATTAAAAGTTGTAGTGTTCCACATGGTCGGCTTGCTCGGGCCACTACTACTGCTACTACTCTCATTCTGATATATAAAAAAGAGGAATTTTTTACTCTTAAGGGTGATTTCCACTGGCGCGTTTTTGGCTACGCATGTTAACGCATGTAAATTTTAATCACGTAAATAAAATAGAGGCAAGATAAAAAGTGCTGAGGTTAAACGAGAAGTTGAGCGAGGTTCAACTTTTACGCTTACGAGCGACCTTTCATCCATTGCCTCTATTCTATTTGCGAACCTAAATCTTACGCACGAACGTACGTAAAAATTACGCGACACTGGAAATCAACCCTTACATGTGCTGCTTATTGCGAGTCGCTGTTTCTAAGCGGATGGGGGCCTTTCTTTCTGACCCGGCAGAAAAAAGCACCACATGTGCGCGTGGCACAGTAAAATCGGCTTAACTGCAGAATACCCGGCCACTTCCAAGCCATACCCCTAAAACAACGACCACGCGTAGCCGCTTAGCCACGTAGCCCCGCAGCCATTGTTTTAGGGGTATAGCTTAGAGGTGGCCAAGTATTCCGCAAAATGTTCAAGTGACTGTTGTGTGTAAGGTTTTTAGCCTGCCTGCGTATTCTTTGGGCGAGCGACAGGTGCTTAACACCCATGAGAGGCCTCGTTTATGTTCGCAGTGACATGGCCGCCATCTTCGATTTTTACACCGAGAAAGAATGTCCATTGCGGTCAAATGTGTTAGTAAGGTCTTTTTAATGTCTTAAGATTTGTAGTGTACAGCGGGCACCCATGTTTTGCTTTATTACTTTATGTAAGCATCATAGATCAAGAGCCCGGCATGGCGTAAGTTTCACTTTTCCTCACGCTTTTTTGTGTACCCTAACCTTTGTAAAATTGTTATTCAGTTTGACAGATTCCTACAGAGATTAGGAGATCAGTTAAGAATGTGGAAATGTAATTAAACCTGTATAATCTGTACAAGCAAAATGGGTTTTCTTGCTGTGTGTTTTGGACTTCTCTTATAAGCAATGACATGTCTGTCTGCATACCTCAGTCTTTTTTCCGCCCCATAGTAATTTTCTTTTCTGTTGCTGTACAGCATACTGGTGCGGGTTAACAACTGATGGGTTGATATAGCTGGGAAGGTTCAGCACTGAAGCTGCCTCTTGTGCTTGCTTCCTGAGTGACTCTGCGTGGGCTGCTAGCTTGGCTCGAACTTCCTCAGATGTTAAGGCACGTGCAGGGCGGGGCAGTTTCTCTAGCATGCCAGTTGAGGAGGCTAGGAGAGAATGGATACACGAGAAAAATTGACCGTCAAAATTTGTTTGATTCCACGTTATTATAGAAAAATTATTGAATAAAAATTACGGGCTATTTACAATATATGCGAAACTAAGGTTACCTTGACACGGAATCGGACGAAAATTCGTAAGTTTAGGTGAACTGTTGACATGGAACCACCTTCAGACCGTACGAAAATTTAGACCGGTCTTCCCGTTCAAACTTCCGTGAAAGGAGCGCGAATATTGAACAGGCACGGGTGAACCGAGTGGCCGGTCAAACGTTTTTGTCTGGTGCCATGTGAGAGTCAGTAATAATACTTTGTAAGCTGTCGTCAGAACATGTTCAAACGTTTTTCACGTTATTTCAGGCATGGTTTGAAAATCATGTCATACTCTGTTTAGGACAGCCAGTACTACTGAACTGCCTCGTGACTTACACAAGATTTGCAAAGTACCAAAGATCAGTGATGATTTTCTCCTCCTGATACTGACCACTAATTGTCAGGTTGGAGAATCCTTATCTGCTGTATGTTGTTTGTGGGATTTTAGAAACTTTTTCATCAGAAATGCAAGAAATACATTTCATGTTACACTTTAGTTGAAACAGAAAGAATGAGAACAGCAACACATCTGTTGCAAAATTCAGTGACTACAAAGTACCTGAGCCTCAATTGAACAATCAACATTACCAAGACTTGAAGAGCATTAAATTCGATTTGAGATTACACAATAGAAATCCTAAATTACTGTCGAATTCTGAAAATCATGCACTCCTAAAATATTACAGGAATGCTTGTGTTGTGACCAATCACAAGAAAGATCAGGACACACGAGCAAACTAATTAATGTGGTTGCTTGCAGTACAGTTAAGTTATCTCCCATCCCAAGGGCTTTCTCCTTGCAGCACAATAACATTCCAGAAATATTTCTTGTGTTAATGGTTTTTCGAGTTTCACAGTTATTTAAGATTAACAGTAGAATGTTTCACACAATCAAAACACTAAAGAGTCAAACCATGTCTTTAATGATATCTGCCATGTGTGATTTTCTTTTCCTTTCCCTTTCATCCACTGTTCAACATTGCAAGATATTCACTAATGAAAGGGGGTGATTCGGGAAAGGAATACAATCAATAATCATTTTAGGGGGTGTTTACATGGGAAAACTCGCACCGGCGCGAGTTTCATACTGGGATGACTTCTTGATTTCATATTGCGTTTATAGGTTGACTGAGTCATTTCATATCGCTTTTATATGAAGATACATTTCACGTTGATAAAATACAAGAGCGAGCCAAAATCGCAGACATTATGCATGCGCTACCTATTCCAGTCTACTTGCCGACCGATTTCACACCAAAACAAGTGGTCGCTTTGCGTACACATCATACTGTTGTGAAATTTTATACTCTTGCTCTGGTACAACAACCTGAGTAAACTCATGCTGGAGTGACTCACACTAGCATGACATTTTGTGGTGTTATCATGTAAACAAATACAGAGCCACGAGAGGCAATCAGAGTGAACTCGTGCCGGCACGAAAGTCGCTTTGGTGTCATGTAAACACCCCTTTAGTTAGCAACTTTTAAACTATTAAATTTCGCAATCTTACCTTTTACAAACACTTTCTTATCACTGCTTGGAGAAGGAGCTCGCTCATCTTTTCTGTCGCGGTCGTGGTCACGATCTCTGTCTCTGTCTCTATCATACCATCGATCTCGATCTCTGTCACGATCTCTTCCTCTGTCCCTACCTCTGTTTCTTTCTCGCTCACTGTCACGGTCCCGCCGTCTGCTGAAGCTGTAATCACTACTGGGTCTACGATCTATAGGTTATATTAATTCAAAAGTGCATTTAAATGAGTTGAGGTCTTTGTAAAAGAACAGGCAGCGAAAAGCAACAATAGACCCAACGCAAAAATGGCTGCTGGATTTATATTTATTCAGTACAAAATTCAAAAGAATACATTACCTCAAGCAAGCTAGTCAGGCTACTTTTAATTTCAACAAAAGATTATTAACCAAGCAGCCATTTTTGCATTGGGTCCATAAGATTATACAAAAGTTCATACCACAAAACATAATGGTACAAGTGTATATGTTGTGGTTCAATTTTACCCTTGGTTTAAATTTTATTTCCCTTTGTTTTTGGTATGGTAATGTATAATGAAGAGTTTAAAACAAAGGGAATTAAAATTTAACCCAAGGATAAAATTGAGCCACAGCATAAAAATAAAAATTATACCCAACATCTCTGGATTACAGTAAAAGTTACAGGTATTTTCCACTTTCTGCCCAGTACCTTGGCTTATTTTAATTATTAAAATAAGCCAAGGTGCTGCACAGAAAGTTCAATTAAACATGATTACAACCTGTTTTATAAATTGGAGACTTTCTAGTGGACAAATAATATTATGATTACCTCTTGAATCTCTATCTGGGCTTCTCCTGTAATCCCTCTTTCTACGCCTTTCAGGAGACCTTGAGTCTCTTCTGTCGTGTGACCTGCTCCTACGCCTTCTCTTCTCAGGTGTTTTACTCCGCCTTTCTTGTGAATTTTTTCGTTTAGGTGACTGACTCTGCCTCTCCCTCTCTAGGGACTTGCGAGGGGAAGGCTTCTTCTCTGTTCCAGCTGGAGATTGAGAACCATGCCTATCTGGTGAGTGTTGGACTAATGTCCTCTTCTTCTCACTTGGTTCCTCCTGTCCATCCTTGATGATGGTATCAGTCTTGTCCTTTTCCTAAAGAGAGATAGTTGCAGCCTTCAGAAAAAATTGGTTAGTACGTTATCAACAGGATTTAACTTCAAATAGACAAAAATAACGTTATCATACAGCGTGCAAAGAAAGTAGTGTCTGATAGCCCAGGGCTAGTGGGTTTGGCTATCAGGCTAGTGTATGCTGTTATTAACTTGCCCGACGGGCAAGTGAAGTTTTTTGAGGAATCCAAATTACAGAGGAACTGTGAAATCAATCTGCTCATCAAAACGTTTTTGGGGCTAGTTGAAATGATGTTTGGGTTAGAAAATGTTAGCTTCAGCTTGTCCGAATGGCAGGCTGTAAAAGTGACTTCCTTTGCACCCTGCCATAACTCTTTACTTGAAACAGCTCCACCGTTAAAAAAGCACCACTGCAGCACATATTGATTTTTTTAGTTTGTTTGACAACTGTCAATTCTGAAAATCCAAATAAGGCTGATACAGTTACTCAGTTGCTCCCTTTAAATGCCCCATCAAGGCACTCAAGAGGACAGAACACTTGCGAAAAATTACGGTCAACTCTAAGAGAAACCCCACTGGGAAAAGCACCATGGTGACCCGTAAGTGTTTGATTTAGAAAGGTATCCGTTTTAATGGAAAAGTCAAATCAAGAAAAAAAAAGAGCATTTGTTCAAAGAAAAGTTGACAAAATAATTTTAATAAATACTGTTGTGGGTTGGAAAAACAAGACTCGGATGAGCATTTTTACACAGACTTCAAACATTGGGGTTAGCCGTTTGCTAAGGTTCTAACAGAGGTAGCCTAGGAAAAGGCTTATTTAACATGAGAAAGTATTTTAACTACAACAATGCTTTCAAGCAGAGGTTTGCAGTGTAACTGCACTCTGAATGAGGCATATTATAACTTTTCAAGATGGACAACAAAATTGGATCCTGCTAATGTCCAGATTACACAGGAACAAATTTACTGTTGGAGCACTCATGCCAAGTGGAGGTGTCTATGGAAGGCTTAAAATGCAGTGTTTGTACATAACTGGGACCATGGCTAAGTGTCTGTGTTTAGGGGTTTGGAGGTGCTCATTAGACAAGACTTGACTGTACTTACAGACGGACTTATAAAGTACAGAACACTCACCTCTAAGATACCCCTGCGTGACTCAGGATGCAAGTCACGACCAAACTCATCATAACGCCCTCCACTGTCTTGATCATTTGTTGACTAATGTAATATGAGTTATCAAACAGTGTTAAATAGAAGAGTACCCTTACTGTCCCATCCTTAGTCCAACATACTTTACCCATACTCCTAAGGACAGTGAAAGTCACTGCTGGTGGTATTTTTTGCATTAGATGACTTTTGGGTGTTTTGCTAATTATTATTTAGGTCTGATGAAAAATACTCTGAAATACTCTAAAAAGAATTCAAGGCAAGTGGTCTTGCATAACCTTTAAACTAGGATGTCTCTATTCTTACAGACTTTCCAAACTAAAACAAGAGCCAAGACATTACACTGGTATATACAGTGTACCAGTGAACAAAAATGCTATGGGTACATGGTTTATCTGCCAAGAATTGAGACCAAGCATGTGTAAAAATAAATAAATAAAAAGCAAAAGAATAGGATTGAAAAAACTTTTTCTTTGTTTGTCATGCTTTTTGGTTAACTTGATACCACATAGATGGTACCCTGCTTTTGCTAATTTGGCCAGGCCAGATTCAATATTTAATGTATAAAAAGTTACAAGGATTTCCTTTGGTGTCCTTGCCATCCACACTTTAGGACATTTATCAACAGTTAAAATATATGATAGAAGTTTCTTTAAAAACTTCCAGTTAAATATCCAGTGCAGTCCAAATACCAAAAAATAAACTTGTCCACCCTTTATTAACTAAAAATGGATGCACAGTGATATAGGAATTTAGCATGTCCATAAAAATTACCAAAACAAGTCTTTCAAGTACATGTACGGTGCTACAATAGCCTACAATGATAATATCCTGCGCTAAAAAATAAAATAAATAAAATGAACAATTGTTTACAAAAAAAAATCCTAAAACAGACTTGATCAAGGTGACTTCTATACAGATAAAGCATGCACAAGATGTGAACATAATTACAGGAAAGAATATGACACATGTGGATCTACAACTCCACAAGAAATGCTATACAACTACCAACATTTATCCATTTTTCAACATTATTCTTGATTATTATTATGTAAGTCAATTATCTATAGAAGTAGATGTATCTGCTTATTGTCAACAAACATGTTAATTTCTTTTTTTTAGAGGGTTGTTTGCTGCACAGATGTGCAAGTGCAAACTGCAAACTAAAGTCGAGATACACTTTTACAACAAGTGCTTCACAAAATATGGCCACTAATGCAAAGCATTAAAAAGAGCCTCTCTGATCTTTTCGGTGTACACAGTACAAGCTATAGACATTGCAATAATCACAAAGGCTTCATGTCTACGTAACACTGTTTAAAGGAAAAATGCACCAGCTACAGTATCTATTCACCCTACTTTACACAAAAAAGTTAGGACTTTATTTGCTGTCTTTTTCTAGGGATTTCTTTGATTTTCGATTGTAACCAAGGGCCAGATTCAGAAAGCCTTCCTAAACATTAATTTGGTTGGGATGATGAGACTCGTGTATCCTACTGGAGACTGTGTATTTGAACAACTCATACAGAGATTCTTGTGCTCTGAAATGGCTCTTTGAATTAAAGGGGTTATGTCACAAGGATATTGCTGTTTTAGGTCAATTCTGTGCTTAAGTCATAAAGTAATTCCTTTACCCATATACAAATCATATGATCCTGTAGAGTTACAGCTGTATGCCGAGAAGACACCAAACAAATTTCATCAGGGAGCACTAACCGTAATAATGTTCTGGTGATTTTTGCAGGCATAGCATTAAAACTCAAAAAACGTTGGCCATATTTTTTCAGGTTTCAATCCAAGTCCACCCTTGCCATCTGTGGCAACAGACAACAGGAATCGGTGTCAAAGCCTAAATGTGATCTAGGACCACTATTTTTGGACTTCAATTGATGCAAAGACATGGAGCATGACACAGCCCCTTTTGGTCTTGGCCAGACTCACAAAGCCATCTTACGTGTCTCTCAAGTATTGTGTCAAACAATGGTCCATTGTTAAGAAACAATATGTAAAGCATATTTTAGCTAAGGATACCTTTGTGAATGTCCTGTGTCTTGAAAGGGGCTATGCCATGGTGTGTTCCATATTTTTTCATCCTTGAAAAAGTTAACCCAGTTTTTTTTCAAGCTGCAATCCATTTCCACCCTGGCCATCGAAAGCCTACATCATAAACTTGTCTTATAGTTGAGGTAAAATTGCAGAATGATTTTAAGTAAAACGTGGACCATTATTTTGGGGTTTTATTTTATTCCAACGCGTTTTTAGGGTTTTCAAGCAATGCTAAACAATTGTGACGTAACTCCTTTAATCTGGGCCAAAAATAATGTGTTTTTTTTCATCAACCTGTGCTTTCTATATGCAAAATAATCACGGTTCTAAGAAGGTGGACAAGAAGCCTTGTTTACCTTGTCATATTTCTCTATATGTACAAAACTTGCAATATTATTAAGATACTTAAGAAAAGTCTTGTGGATTCCAAGAGAATAAAACTCAGCATCAAAACTTAACTACATGTAATGGTTAATCTTGCTACAGGTGATTATAAATCCTAATATAGTTCAAAATTTGTAAAACTGCCTTTACTTAATAGAATGTGAGAAAAGTGTTTTTCAAACAAAGTAAGTTCCTTCAGTTCTAAGATAGTTCACTGCTATCACTCTTATTTTCTTTAACATCTTGGGTTGTAATCTCAACAATAATTGATGAATCTAGGGGAGCTAAAACAGGAGCATCTTTTTGCTCTATTCTATTCTGAGCTCTGGATCTGTTACCTCTTCTTAGAAATTCGTCAATAGAAATAACACACTTTTGCTTCCAAACTGACTCCTGCTCAGCATCAGGTATAGAGTAAAGTTTAAAAGCACAAAACTTTATAATATCAAGCTTTCCACTGTCCAGGGCTCCTTTTCCTCTAGTACCAGAACAATTTCTATTAAACATTTCTTCCTTTGTGAACAACGCCTTCAAAAGGTTCACACTGAAATTCCCTATGGAACAACTTGTTTTCTGAATTTTCTCTGCCCAGGATAACAGGTCTTTCACCCGATCAACACCGTTTGCGCTTTCACTGTGATCCTCTGTCATGTTACTACTGTCATTGCAGTTGACAGCACCTGAATCAAGTTCAGTTTCAGCAGGAGAGACAAACACTGGTACATTGTATTTCAGAGGCACTGACACTTCACTTACAACATTCACAGAATCATGAATAGACACTGAAGGATCCTGTGAAGAGTCACTAGTCTCCACTGGGTTCGTAGAACAGCCAGCCAGTTTCTTTACGGCAGCTTTTGTTAATTTGCAACTGCGACTAGGTCCAGATACAGTTGAATGATGCACACCACTAACTGATTCACTAGTAAAATGTCCAATAGATTCTAGAAGATTTGATGGAATTCTCAGTTCACCTGTGCTAGAATGTTCAAGATCTCTGCCTCTCACACCATTTACCAACCTTCTTTCTCTGGACACAAGTGTTGCTGATGATTGTAGAGCTTGCTGTTGTTCCATGAACTTTAAAAGCTTTTCCTGATTTTTCAGAACTTTTTCCTGATTTTCAAGAAGCTTTTCCATTTTCCACAACAGTGTTGACAGGCGCCCATTCACTTCAGGCCCTAAGTCCATCATGTGAATCAACTTCAAAGAAAGATTAGCAGTGTCAGGATGAACTTTCCCCTACTTTGTCTCTCTCATTAATAATAGTTATAAACCAAACCATACATATACACACCACTAATGCTACATGTTTATGTACCATACTTTATTAGCTAAAAGATTTCAACTTGTATAAAAGTGATAAAGCACTGTTCCAACTGCCTGGAAATGGAGTTTTTAAGAAAATTACACTGATTTTGTTAACCATTTCACTCAGCAAAGTGCTCTATTTTCTGTTGCCCCGACAACAAAAGTAAATTGTTCAGCAGATGCCAATGAACACGATTGACAACAACAGGAATGGTAAAATTATTTTGGTGGACATGTTTGACAAATATAAGAAAATTGATATTAACATAATAGAAAAGTCACAGGTATTTACTTCACATGCGTGCAAGAGCTGTACTTTTAGCATTCTGAGCTGTGAGTATTTTGTCACTATGGTGAGTAGAAAAAAATTTGGCGACTAAAACTGCAGTGTAAGTCACCAAATTGGCGACACATATTTGGCAGCAAAAATGTGCCTAGCCATTTTGCTTTTATAGATTCATTTTTAGGGTCTTTCTAAAGTCACAATGTGTTTATGAAACATTTGCACGAGATATTAATTAATGCCAAATGTTTTTACAATAATTCTATTCTCTTTCACACTGGCTGTCTGAGTATTAAGCCTTGAGATGGCGTGCATGACTCCAAATTCAATTGTCATAGTTGGGCAGCCATTTCGATTAAAAACTGTCTCTTGTTCATCTCCTAATATCATAAACAAAGTTTTTTTTTCTGGCAGCAAATATTTCATGTTTGGAGACCATTAAAATAATTCTTATTGCTGTACGATATCAAGCATGAGATGCAGTGTTCCATCACCAGATGAAACAGTGAGAAGAGAGTTGAAAATACAATGTGCAGCAGAGTATTTTTGATGAATTTTGAGGTGTTTTATACGGTGACGAAACACTGTTGAATGCTTGATATTACTTCTCGAACAAAATGACTTTGGAAGGAGAAATTAAGAATGCAAAAATGAGCAATTTTTAAGCTGATTTCCAAAAACTTATTAAACATTAATTTCCTTTGTATTTTCTTAATGAATTATTAATACGTTTGAGAAGATCATGTACAGTCACGGCTGCATGTAGGAGACAAAGGAAATTGATAATCAACCAAGGATAGTACCATTTTGACCTGATTTTCATTTTGACTTGCCACAGCTACACCAGTAAACCATGACATGGAAACTGGGAAGAACATTGAGTCAATTCCACTGAAGTTAACATACTTCTTCTGAGTCCTACTTATTACTTTGCTAGCACAAGGTGTTAATGAAGATGATGATGACAAAAACAACAAATCACCCTACAAATTATTATTGTAAGGTGTTTTGTTGTTACATGCTGTAGAATTTATTGTTACGTACAGTATGTCTAAATGAAAACAAATTGCATAGACTGGGCCAAAGGCACACATAAAAAGTAGGCAATTAGTAATTTTAAGGGCAATGGCCTTAGTACCGACTTGACATAGCTACCAACAAAATTTAGTTTTCTTTGTACAGCTAAAATAACAACTACAGTAAAAGGATAGTAAATACAAAAAGACCAAGATCTGATGCGTCAAATATCACATTATTCATAAGAAAAAATTTGTCACCTTAAACACCTTAAGTTACATGTATTTGGTAAAGGAACAATATTTTGTCGTTATTTGGACTGCACTGGAACTACTGGAAACAACCACTGCCACTAGTATTTAAGAGTATTAAAAGGGAGTGTCTGTAGGGATTATGAGGCCCACATGCATTTTTGAAATTTTGCAACTAGCTACAACTGTGTTGAGAATAAGAATTTGCCATTGGAAAGACTCAGATTCAAAAGCTGGCATGTCCAATGCTTGCCCTTTAGGTAGATCACTCTCTGAAAAGCTACAATGTGGCACTTACGTTTAATGTACGATTTTCAATCCCTTCAAGTTTATCTTATCAAACTAGTTGATACCCCTCTCCCCAACCCCAATCATTCAGCAACACAGTTTCCAAATTATATGCTTGCTCCTTTACATGAGCCATAACCTTGTGACTCAATTGTATCCTTCGTTTAATATCTATTTTACTTTTTGCGAAGTATGTTAATGTACTACAATGAGCTATAAAACGAAGAAGGAAAAAACTGAACCAAGGACTAAATTGACCCACAACAGATACATGCATCACTCACATTTCTTGGACTTGGACTTCTCCTTCTTCTCCTTGGACTCCTGCTTCTGCTCCTGCTCCTACTCCGACTTCTACTTCTTCTACGACGCCTTCGGTCATCTGAAGGAAACAAGACGTCAGACCCTTTAATCAGCATGGATCTATAATAATAGACCCTTTTACATTTTTTCCACCTTTAGACACGGAAAAGTTTGGGAAAATCCATTGACACCAATAATTGGTGTCAATTATTGAAAAAGTGCCTTAAAATTAGTTAAAAACGCCATGTTTGAAATTTTACAGATGTTTGTAGGATGGGAGGATACAAACTTGCCCCCCACCCCCACCATACAAATGTCAGTAAATTTTCACAACTTTGTGGAGCTCTATCTGCAGTCACTTAAGTCATATCACTTTCAAACCTGGCAATGTCACTAATTTTAAGGGGGCTCTTTCCTGTGGTGTTGATGGATTTTCTCTTATTGGTCCATGTCAAAAGTTAAAAAAACCTGGAAGGGTCCATTATACCAACGGAAGGGCTGTGCCCTAGCAGTGCCATGGTCTTTGTTCTAGTGTAATTAGGAAAGCTCAGTTTTTTTTTCTCTTTCATAAAAGTCATATGCTGGGTAACCTAGATTTGACAGGATCACTGCTTTTAAGTTTTCTTTGAGCACAACCTTGAAAAGGAATCATTTTCTTTTTACTTTTAGTGTGACAAACTAATAACTTGATGATCTTTGTTCATTCTCCTTTCTTAAGAGCTTTCATCACAGTTTACCCTAACCTTCTTGCCCTAACTAACCCCATCCCCTTTTTCCTTGCATCACGCAAGTGTTTGCAGGATAAGGGTCAAAGTGTTATAAATCTAGCAGCCTAAAATCTGGTCATAACTGTTTTTAATCCGAGCACATTATTGCATAAATCATGTTACATTGTTGACAGGTGATTGCATAATATGATGGAAAAAACAGTTTTAAACAGAGTAGTACCAATAAACAAAAAGCCACCCAAGTTACCTTTATAATCTGAATTTCTTCTTCGTCTGTGTGACGAAGGTGAGTGGTCTGGAGATCTTCTATTAGGGGATCTTTCAGGGGATTCTGAAGCAGACCTCTTCCGGTAATTTCTGCGACGACTACTGGGAGAACTTCTACTTTTATGCGAGGGTTGTGATGGCTCTGTTGCCAGATCTACCTTTTCATCATGCTGTTCTTCTGGTAGAGGAGGTGCATCGACCTGACTCACACGTTCATTCTCCATGTCAGTGACAGAGGTGTACTGTTGTGTATCCTGATTAGACATCTGTGGACAAAGTATTCAATCTACTATAAATGACTGCCTTCTAACAATAACCGAGAAAAGTTCATAATTATCACTTTAGAGCTATCTACTTTAGTGCATGTAACAGATAAAAACTTTAAGTTTAAAAGACCTTCCATGGTTTTCTTTTTTCAACATTTAAAATGGACCAGCGACGGAAAATCCGTTGACACCTCTAGAAAGTGTACCTTTAAATAAAATGCTTATTTGTATAATCGTAACTATAACAAAATTCTCAAATCTGATTGGCTATCAACTGTCCTGATTTCAGCAATAATACAACAGTATAATGGGACAGCATGAGTCATATCTAAGTAATTGGACAGTATTCGTTGAATGTTTTATTTTTCTGGTAAAAATTCTCAAAGTCGCAAAAATTAACAGACGTTTAAAAGGTGGAGGCACAAACTTTCCCCACTATACAAACTCGGCAAGGTTAATAATTTGAATGCCCTCTTTCCAGTGGTGTTCATGAATTTTGCTAACTGAAACTCATCAAAACCTGAAAAAACCATGAGGGGTCTATTACTTTGGTGTACATGGACAACAAAGCGCAGCACTGTGAAACCAAAGAACCTTAATCAAAGCCATCCTGAAAATGTTTTAGTTGGAAAAAAATCAGTACAGCAATCTAAAATAGATCAAAACTAAGTAAATAGTCTGAAATCTTGGCCATAATAATTATTCTGCAAACACAGTCTTTATATTCTTGGATAAGCTCACTTCCTCCTTGTTCAGATTTCTCGTGAGGATTATAAATTATGTCATTTTACGGTCACACCAAAGTTATTGTAAAACAAGAATAAAAAAATCTGAAATAAAATTGAGAAACAACTTAAGATATGCAAACAGATTTTTAATTGATTTAAGTGGACACAAAACATTTTCTTGGGATAGCCATGTCAGGAAGTCTGGAAACTGAAGGCAAATTACAATCCTACCTGTCTCCGGTTAGCTAGACAGTTTGATGTTTCACCAAAAGTAATTCTAAATTGAAATAAACCATCAAATACCGTCACTTAAATGAAACACAAGTTAACGAGCAATTTCACTGGTAAAGTTAAAAGTAGTACGCTCCTAAAGAAATCGAAACCGTACACAAGGGTGGGAGTCTTTATGTAAGCTTGATAGCCTTATTTTTGACCATCTAAAAACAACTGAATTTCTGTGACAGTTTTTGGCGTAAGCACTGATAAATAACAAGATCTTATCTTAGTGAAGCTAAATCTAAGTTTAGCCACCAGAGCAAGGATTTTTTGATGGCCGTATCCTTTAACTAAGTACGTTTTCCTTTGCAGCAAAACTCAATTATGGCCTGTGCATCCACCACAAAATGCAACATCATGAATTATGCATTTCATACAAATCAGCGCAAATGCCACCTTTTCTACGCAATAAAACAACGTAATGATAGCAAAAAAACAATGTTAACATATAAATGCATGTTAAACGGACATTTCGTACCTCTTTGGGGGCCAATTTGCGGTGAATTTTGTCGTCTTCGGTGGAGGAACTGGAATCATAACCCGCCAGACCATCCATCTTGTGTTCAAAAGATCCCGTATGAAGCACGCTCTTTTTACTTACCATATATGGTCACAGGTAGTCACCAGGCTCTTTCCTGTAAGAGCGCGCCATAACATAAAATTTGTCATTACATTTGTTAATGTAGAGATGTCAAGCATTTGTCAGCGACGGTTTGTCTACAATTACCACAGGTAACCCAGGCTCTGTGATAGTACCACAGTACGGTTCCAGTAAAATTACAGTGTTTGTATGGGGTAAAAATATCATCCTAAAATTTCTAGGAAATACTAAATAAAGATCAATGAAACTTACTCTGCAGTTAATTGTTGTTGTCCTTATTGCTCCAACGAAGTTTCGTGATAATTTGCAGTAATTTGTTCAAATTCACTCTATCTACAATAATAATATACAAGGTAGGAAACACGAGGTGCCATTTTCGCCGACATGCTCTTATTCAACACAACTTTTTCCACGAAATTCGAACTCCAACGGAAAATAAACATGCCAGGATCGTAGAAATAGGATAGCAGCAGATATAGAAACCAATGAAGCTTTCCCAGATAGAGAAACGAATCCCACAGACTTTGACAAACTCGAAGAATATAATCCAAACACACTGAGAATACGCTCGCCGAAGCAGCCGGGCCAGATCAACGCGCGGCCAAGAAAATGAAGCCTGGGCACTGTACAAAAAAATTCCATCCCGGGGGTCCTGGGGTGACCTTTCTAGGGACCGATACATCATTTGCCCAAGGTCACCCTGCCCTGCTGGAAAAATACTTGATAGAAGGCAATTGTTCTTCCTAGCCAATCACTATGGCCTGTTATAAAGAGATTATTTTCCTCTCGAACTATATTCAGCTCCTGGCGCTGGTCCTCAGAAAGTTTATCAAACATCAATAGGGCAAGGTTATAGGGGCAAAGGAAAGAACAACGAAGGACGATTTACAAAACTTAAAACGAGCAAAAGATATAAGTGAATTTTGGCTCTTACCGAGGCATTTGTACAACAGGACCAAATTCAAAGAGAGGTGTATCACGATGATTCAGATATTTAACCGATAGAGCGTTCACTTGTATTGACAAGAAGTCGGCGTGTTACTGCCGCATTAATCGCTAAATATGTTAATCGCGCTAGTTCTTTGTTTACTAGTGCACGTGCCTTTCACATTCGTCTCAGTTATCGCAATTCATATTCTGTCGCAATTTTCTGTATAATTTTTGACATTAGTTTGTAAGCTTCACCGTTTATTTACGATAGTTTCGCTCGAGAGTTCACAGCAACAGTATCTCAGTCATCATCTACCTTTTGTTCAACCTTGTTTTTAGCCCGCCTTGTAAGTATTTCGCGTTGTTATTTCATTAGTTTCATTACTGTTATTTGCATTCCTTAGTAAAAGAAATGGGGCGCCTTGCAACTCCGCAGACTCTCCTGATTGTATTAATTTTTTTTAGCCATTTAAATTTAGGCGCGTGTGCGGGGTTTGCTCTGGCAAATAGTGATTGGCTAGGAAGAACAATTGCCTTCTATCAAGTATTTTTCCAGCAGGGGAGGGTGGCTTTGGGCAAATGATGTATCGGTCCCTAGAAAGGTCACCCCAGGACTCCCCGGATGGAATTTTTTTGTAAAGTGCCCAGGCTTCATTTTCTTGGCCGCGCGTTGATCTGGCCCGGCTGCTTCGGCGAGCGTATTCTCAGTGTGTTTGGATTATATTCTTCGAGTTTGTCAAAGTCTGTGGGATTCGTTTCTCTATCTGGGAAAGCTTCATTGGTTTCTATATCTGCTGCTATCCTATTTCTACGATCCTGGCATGTTTATTTTCCGTTGGAGTTCGAATTTCGTGGAAAAAGTTGTGTTGAATAAGAGCATGTCGGCGAAAATGGCACCTCGTGTTTCCTACCTTGTATATTATTATTGTAGATAGAGTGAATTTGAACAAATTACTGCAAATTATCACGAAACTTCGTTGGAGCAATAAGGACAACAACAATTAACTGCAGAGTAAGTTTTATTGATCTTTATTTAGTATTTCCTAGAAATTTTAGGATGATATTTTTACTCCATACAAACACTGTAATTTTACTGGAAGCGTACTGTGGCACTATCACAGAGCCTGGGTTACCTGTGCAATTACATGCATTTAATTTATTTCGATGCTTATGTTGTTGCTAAAAGATTGACCACACTCAAAAACTAAGTTTTTTGCATGAAAATTTACTCGCAAATTTAGCGAGAAGGGAATTTTTCAATTCCCGCTAAAATTATAGCGTTTCCCGCATTTTTCACGCAAACACGTTGCGACTCGATCGTTCCACATGATCGCAAGCTGATGTTTTTCTTGTAACAAAAATGGGGAACACACACGGACGGCGTTCGGTGCAAGGAAAGAAGCTTCGGAAAAGACCTCATAGTATAGCTGTGGAAAAACCAGAAACGTGGTCTTCGTCCAAACCTCTGCTTCAACGAAGCGCTAGTCATGGGTCGATTCGAAGGCGCTACAGTGAATCGGGGAACTATTCCTACAAGACACCCTGGCCCGTTCCCCTCAGTGAAGCTGTATTTTTACCAGAGTACGATTCCAAGCAACCAGTCAAGATCAGCGATTTTGAGGTTTGTTGACAGAAATATAAATGTAAAATAGCCTCTGGTGGGTATAAGCACTTGAATAATGAACGAAGGAGCACACATTTTCAGTACAACTGTTTGCTTGTACTTGGCAATGTTTCATTATGAATAAGGTCATGGCAGTTTTTTGGAAACCAAGAGACTTTCTAAAATCGGGAACGTCAAAAACAGAGCTTGGACCTCACAGTTCTACTTTTATTTTTCGTCAGAAAATATTTGTTTCCATATTTTGTAGCAATTTTGCAAACTTGCAGCATATACGGTACAGTTTTAATTCTGTTAAAAATCACGCTGCTGTCCCAAAGACGGCTGTTTTGAATATCAATATTCATGAATATTATCTGTCATAGAAAAAGTCTAAGGTTTATCCGTTAGCCGATGTTGTCGACTTAAAGCAAAACTATTTCCTGAATTCTGAAAATCGACCCGATATCGCAGAACGTGGTAAATTTGCCTTGGGAGAACCCGACTTTGACTATTAATTAAATTGAATATGAAATCGGTGGATGCCCATGATACAAAAACCGCAAATCATAGAAGTGGTCTGGTGTTGAAATAAACAACCTACACGTGATACTCGACATGGAAATACTGAACAAAGAAAGGTCATTGAATTTTTTATTAAAGTTTTTAGTTTTTATTAGCAATCTTTTATTGCCTATATATATATATACAGCGATATTTTGCTTTCCGTGTTAGAGCGGTCTTGAGAGTATGCTCAATTTCCATGACAGTGTTGTTAATTTCCTTGAATTCAGAAGCATCTCCGGTTGCGGAAAGTTGTGAAAGTTACCGATTTTGATCTTATTTTAAAATGGGCGGGCATTTAAATCCGTGGTAGGTTCTTTTGTATGAACTGCACGTTCTCAGCGGGAGAAATTAAACCACAACGCACAAAAGGTATGCAAACAACAATGGAGTAAAATGTAAGCACTTTTTTCATAATCTTGCATAAATTATTAAAGTGAAAAAGAAGCTAATTGTTGGATAACTGAAACAAGCAAGTACAGCATGTTGATAAAATAAGCAACAAATAATACAATGAAAATAGAATTGTTTAGTAGATAAACACCACCTCTGTTTTTGTTCTTATTAAATTTTGTGGGCAAAAACGTATTTTTTCCTTTTTGCTTAAACAGCAAGAAATTACATTGAGAATGAAATATTATTTGGTTCATAAGTACTGACCTTGCTTTTTTGTTTGTTTGCTTTTTGCATACATAAGCAAAAAAATCTCTGTTGAATAGCACGGTTTCGAGGATGGACACCTTTAGGACAGGCACATGTGTCTGGTTAAGAAAGATGGCTGTCTTATAAAGAGTCAACCAAAAGGCAGGGACCAACTCTAGATTTTCATTTCAGCAAGGTGTCTGTCTTAAAGAGATGTCTGTTAAGAGTGGTCGACTGTACAGATATGCAAGAAAAGCACATTTTGCATACATGAACCCTATAAACATAAAATATGCATTTGCCCCAACTCCAACAGTGGAACAAGCTATGGCTGCTTGGAGGGAGTCAGTCATCACAAGTATCCATCACACAATTTCCACATTTAAAAATTGCTAAGATATCATATCTGTAAACCCCGCTGCACTTGCCAAAAAGGGACAAAATTTCTTTTAAAAATAGTTATGTAAATTAAGGCATGCAGAATAAGTCAAGTCATTCATACATCACATAAAACTGATTGAGAGCTTTATGTACTCGGGTATGTATATATGGACTAAAAATCACACTCTTATAAGGGACACAAAAATTCTGTATATGTACTAAATCATATTATATTTTTTAAAGTTTTAGTTTTATTTTTACAATTTTTATTCTGATTACAAATTATAAACTAGAAAATTCATGATGTTAAATTATTCAAATGTGCATAGAAGTAATGTAAGATAAATTTTTAGGATTTTGACATATCTTTGTTTGTAGATTCTGGCAACTGTTGGAAAAGGTGCATTTGCTTATGTAAGTTTGTGTTTTGCTTTTAAATGCTCCCAAGAGAAATTTAACCCTGAGGTTAAGTTACAATAATTATGTTATGGTAAACAAGCTTATACCAAATAAATGTACCTTGGCAAAGCTCATCCTTTGTTTTAAAATTTCTTACTTGAAATATAGAAAAATGAAAAATATACCAGGTTCTGTTGCTGCTGGAAATATCATAATAATAATTTTTAATTTTGTGTGCTTGCAAATACCTCAAATGTATTTATGAGAAAAATGAAATTAACTTTATATGTCTACTTGTATACCACTAATTCTAGTGCTTTCTTTATGCAAATTTATCAGTATTTGCAGTATTTTGTGGACTATCTGTCTGTATGTGATTGACCTATTTTACATATGAATCAACTGCCTCAAAAGAAATGAACAAAAGTCTATTTAAAAAACCAGTATTTCTGTTAGATTTTATTTATTCAGCATTTCTGTACATTGTTTTTTCTTTTTTTTGTCCAAAAGGACATTCATTTTAGACTGTGGGATGAATATATTTTTTTCTTTTTAAGGTACTTCAAGTGAAAAGCAAGCAAACCAACAAACCATATGCAATTAAGGTATCTTTAAATTAAAATCTGATAGCTTTACTTACTTTTTTTTGTTGTGCAAGAGGAGTGTTGGAAACATTATACTTCTTTTAAAATTCCTGCCTTAAGTTGGATGGTGTTTGGTGGCCACTTTTCTGAATTTGTTTCTCAAAATTATTGCATCAGGTGCATACAGAGGAGAAAAGTGGTCAAAGTGATAATCAAGCCATCGTTGATGAATTTTATTGATTATCAATAGAATTTTCTGTTTTTGTCAATTGATCTGATCTACACCATTAGGTGCTTAATAAAGCGGAGATAATCAAAGAAGATGCTGTACAGCAGTGTAAAGATGAAGCAATTATTCAGGTTAGTGCACTTTTAACATAGATATTGACCTGGAGTGTGAAGGTACTACTTACGACCTTCACCTCTTTCACCATAAAGGTCTTGAAAAAATTATCAAGGGGAATACTTTTTCTTATCACAGAAACAACAGTTTTGAACATTATAGGCAAGTTTATTTCCTCCGGGGTTAAATGAAGTCTCTTGGTCTCTTTTGGGGGTTTTATTCCATTTTTCCAACGAAAATCTCTGCTCCTTTCCCTCAGGAGTTGACCTCTCAGCTCTAAGCATTAACCTTTAAAGCTCCAAGATCGACATGTATAAAATTCTTGAAACTGATCTCTATTCATGTCTTTAAAGAAGTAGTTGAGAGAACTTTTATAAAGATCATTTAAAGAATTTCCCCTAAGGTTATCAATTTGTTTACTCTCATAGCCAACTGAACTTTCCATCTTGATCATGAATTGATCTTAGGGGACAATTATGTTGAGCATATAAACTCACAGTTGTGTTTGATCAACATACAGGCAAAACTTGGTGACTTTCCATTTCTTGTCAAAACTTGGTACACATGGCAGACTAAACACAATCTTTTCATTGGTATGTAGAACTACCTAAACTAATCCAGGGGGAGCCTGAACCCCATATAAGCCCCAGGCTTCCAGTTCAGGCTTCCCTGCCACTATCTTTATTTATATAATCTATTCTAAGTATATTTGACCTGTAATATGTGACAAAAACAAACCAGTCAATCAATAAATCAAACGTTAACAGTTACTTGTACGTTAAGTTTTATAATTTCTGTCAGTTATTTTTGGCAAATAATCATTTGGAAACTCCCCTTTTCAGTGTCAGATTTTGTTGATGGTAGTGATCTCTACACACTATGGCGTCAGGAAAAGAAGTTGCACAATGAAACAGTCAAGTTATATTCTGCTGAGTTAGCCATCACTCTAGGTAAGGAAATGTGTTTAAAGATCACCCACTTACCAAAGGGGATGGGGGTAGGGGAGGAGAGATTCTCGGAAAATTTAGTTGGGTTTTGTGCCATGCCTCCTGTAACCCTCATACTCTATTCCAGACTGATATTTGTAATTTTCTCTGCCCTGCTTTTTGTGCCTCAGACCTGAACTACTCTTCAAAGACGGAAATGATAACAAAATAGAAAACAATGAACTCCAGACCCTGGCTTCAGAAAAACTTCAGACACAAATGGCTTAAGTCTAGACCAAGTTTATCCCAGAAGCAGGGCTCAAAAATTGTCTTGTCTAGTTTTTCAGGATAATTGCATGTAAGAATATTTTCTTGGTGTGCAGGAAACGTTTTAAGTTCAGTGAAACCTCTATTTAGGGGACACCCGCGAGATCTGAGATAAGTGTCCCATTAATAGGTGTTCCTTGAAGAGAGATTGGGCTAGGGTTTGTTGATAATTAATTAACCAACAAAGAAAGTATTTTTTTAAATTCTTTCTTGGAATGTGTGAAACAGCACCAAAATCCTTGTTCTGAGTCCCACCTGTGTACAAGGATTGGAGTACGCGCCATGATTAGCCTTTTAAAAAGGCCATTGTCGATTTGCCAGTCAAGATGAAGGGAAATTCAAAAAGCACTTCCCGTAATTCATTAATTCTGTTGAGGGCCCAGAACAAGGATATCAGCACTGCTTCACTGATGTTACTAACCAAGGTTAAATTGCATGTGCGACGCAGGCTATCAATAATTATTATTGCAGTGCATCGATTTAAGTGACAGATTGTTCATGTTGTGAAAACTGTCATCATTGTGATCAGTTCAGTTCACACTTTAACTTCTCAACCCTCTTTGTGGTCAGTCACGTTTTGAGTAGCAAGGTGTCCCCTGAATGGAGGTTTAACCTGGGTTTCAAGACCCAGAAAAAGTGTCCCCTTACCATGAATAAAGGTGCCTCCTCAACAGAGTTCGCGTGCACCTTGGAAGTCCTTGAAAATTGCAGTCAGTGCTGGAAAGTCCCTGAATTTCAATGCTAACTTTAAAGTTTAAGTAGAACTCCAAAGAGAAAGGAGCAAACACAGAAAGACCTTCGGGATAAAATTGCTGATGTTGTGGAAGAACTAAAATTTCAATAATAGAGATAACAGATACAAAGATTATCTGAACATTTTTCCCGGACCAAATTTTGTGTCCCCTGAATGGAGGTGTCCCTTGAATAGATGCTCCACTGTACCTGCACTTTCATGATTTCACAATTGTAATATGCCTTTCTATTTGCAGATTACCTTCACAAATCAGGAATAATCTACAGGGATTTAAAGGTAAGCCTAAAAGTTCTTATTTTTCAAATGGCACATTCCTTTATCCAGAATATATTTTTTCTCTCTACCTTAAACGGTAGGTCTATTTTTCTGACGACTCACCTTTTATCCTAAATTTTTCCTCCTAGCTGGAGAATATTCTTTTAGATGAAGAAGGTAAGATTCTGATCTTGTTTTCCCCACCCCCATGCCCATCCCCACCCCGTAAAAGAAAAATGCAGCCCACCTGCGTCATCTGCTCGTATCCGGATTTTTCAGGTTAGGTGGAAAACGGAGATTTTTCTTCCCCTCTTCGAAAAAATACGCGTTCGCACGTAGCTTATTCGAATAGTTTCGCCCGTCCACATAAAAACGCTAAAACGATGGAAACACGATTTTATGCCTCGCAGGGCATTCGCTGTACGATGTATGACATCTTTGGATTTTCGTCCGTCCACGCGAAAACGAAAACCCGGCATTTTCAAAAATCTCCACTTTGGAGAGCGTTTTGAAAAAGATGCGTTTTCGGTGACCGTTTCACCGGATACGTGAGGTGGTAGGCCAAACTGGAGGGGAAAAGTCTCTGTTTTCAAACAAAAACGGATACTTGACGTTGTAAACAGGGCTCAAACTTACTTGTAGTCAACTTGGCAAAGGTCAATAACTAATTTTTTTCTTTGCTATATAATTTGTCCAATTAATAATTCTCGCAGGCTTTTTACTTTCTGTTCTACCATAATAATGTTTCGTCATTACTTACAGTTCATATAGAAACGTACAAAAGTTTTTTTTCTCTACGCGTTATACAATAAAATCAAGTTTTTAGTGTCGCACATTAGGGAAGGGAGAGATTGTCTTGAATAAGATTTTCGTCACTGTTGTAGGACATGTTAAGCTGGTCGATTTTGGTCTGTCAAAGTTAGTGAAACCGCGGGAACGAACCCGTACCATCTGTGGTACCTTGCAGTACATGGGTAAGAACAATACGCTTTTATAAGACTGGCAATTTCTTTGTTTATAACAACGTTATGTGAGAAGTAAGTGTTATTAATAATGTTGGCCTAGGGAAGTGAATGGAAAAACTGGATGAACACCTCTCAGGCTCACACATCTGTTAGATGGCAACATCGCTTTTCTTAGCTTATCCCATTTTTCAGGCTTAAAGAGCGACAAATACACGTCGGGTGAATCGATTTTAGTCCGAGTGAACTCCCCTCAGGTGCATCAAATTTTGGGTGACACGAACTGTTACCTTCCGACTCGATGCACCTTTTCGCTTAAATAATCTCTCATCGTTGCACGGCGTATCACGAACAGTAGGGAGCTTAAACAACGACGACGACGACTGACAGCAGTAAAAACGTCGCTAACAAAAATAGTGTCCTTTCAAACTTTATTGCGTCTATATTTGGACCCGCTTAATTTGTCAAATGCAGGCTATTTTTCCTGGAGTTGAATTCTTAGGACTTCATCCAAGTTCAAAAAGACAAAGGAAATTTAATCGTCGCATGTTCACGTCCTCCATGAATCGTCGCATTAGGAGGTTTTGCGTCGAAGTCGCGCAGTGGGACGTCAAGGAAATGTACTAAAAAGCGTGATGCACAAGTTGTTTTGTCGTGGTTGCTTAAGCTCCCTAGTTTATACTTTCATCCGTTCCTTTCTGTCAAGATTTGTTTTTTGGAACCTGTTTCGAAAAAATCAGTTCCTTAATATTAACCGGTAATTCTGTAATAGAAATGGATTAACATTTAACTGTGTGGTAAAATGTTCGTTCTCGTTTCGTTTTCCGTAGCTCCTGAAATCCTGAGTGGAGAAACGTATACTCATGCAGTTGATTGGTGGAGTTTAGGTGTGGTCATGTATATCCTTCTGGTTGGAAAGGTGAGATTTCTGAGGCTCAAAATTCGTCCTTCAAAGTTTTAGGAGGAAGAATTAGCGCAGTTGGTTAGTGTGCGTTCGATTCTCAGGTGTTGCCACAAATCCTTCTTTCGACTTCTTTCGTTTCCGTGTATGTTGAAGTGGCTTTAAATACCCGTTAAATGGAACACAGATGAAGAGAACGGGGAGGGGGGTAAATGAGCACACAGTCGGTCTGAGGTTTGTTAGTGAGTAAGATGACTATTTCGAGCTACCGGCGTATAATAAGGACTCTTTATTTTTTTTATATTTTTTTTGGTAAGTTCGTTTTCTCAGCTCTCCTCGCGGTTGGGGCTAACATGAGTCTTATTCGGGCCCAATACATATTTAAGCCCGCGAACATAATTCTTTTTTTCCTTGGCAAAATTAAGAGCTATTTTTAATGCACTTTATAACACCACTTTCAGTATCCATACCCTGCAACACAAGATCACGCTAGTCAGCACAAGTTGGTCAGCGCTGTCGAGTTTAACTTTCCTTCGGATCTGTCAAGCGGCGCTGTGAGCATTATGCAAAAGGTACAACTTATTTTATATCATTTTATAAATCCTTCTTGTCATCTGTTCTTTCATAAAAGTCCGAAGCATCGTTTTTCACTGGCTTTGCCTTACCCAATTTCTTAACTAGGAAAAGAGAGTTTTAGAGCTGTAAATAACTTTTCTTTTTTAATATTCCACTAGCATACCATTTTAAGTCCAAAAAAAAAAAAAAAAACGTGTCAGACACACATTAATTTACTATGTACATCTTTGTATAAAATGATGATCGTTGGTATTTGATCTGTCCGACTATCATGTCTGACCGCAGGGACACAGGCAAATGTAAATATCCACTTCTTTGCCAGCTTGGGAAATTATCGCGTTCGAGTTCGGAGAGGACCGCGTCGGAGCTCAGATAGTTACAGTTAAATTATTTAGCCTTGCCATTCACTTTCTCAAGAAAAATGAAACTTAAATCATTTAACGTCATAATGAAGAATTATGCACTTTTTTAAACACCATTTTTTCAAGTTTTCCTTCACGTCTGCCTTTACGTATTGCGATGTTTTTTCTTTGTTTTTCCTCACTAGCTAGACAGGTCCCTTTAAAGAGCTGGAAAGAGAAAATTGCTTTTCTCTTGATATATTTTAATGTTTCTTTAACAGCTGCTACAGAAAGATCCCTCGTTAAGGTTATCAAGTGCGGAATCCTTGAAGACAGATCCATATTTTAGCGACTTATCATTCGAGGACGTGTTGCAAAAGAGGGTCAGTTGACGAGTACTTTGTCTTTTGTGTAGATAAAAATTTCTTGTTGTAGCCAGCCTTGTTCTTTAAAACGGAGGTATAATTCCTTGGTTACAATCGCTCGGGAGCTCGACTGTGCAAGGGATGGAGTCTACAATCAAGTTTGACCTTGAATATCGCACGCTTTTCACACGCTCCTCTGTTCTTTTGAGACCCGTGCCGCCTTTCCCACTCCCCTCATTATACGTTTCGGGTCACGTGGTGCGAGCTATTTTTTTTACGTCTCGTATACGTCACCGAAATGCATTGACTGGGAAAGCCTGGAAAGACGCCGTATAAGGACCGGGTAACGTACCGCCTGCAGTTTCGTTTTCAGGGGCGGATCCAGGATTTTTTTTAGGAGGGGGTGCACTCGTCTCTTGCTCTACTTCAACTTCAATAAACCACATAGTTTTTTTTTGCAGAATACCAGTTGTATTAGAAGACCACAGGTAATCTCGGGGGGGGGGGGGGGGGGGGGCCCACCCCCCCCCCCCCACCCCCCCCCTTAAATACCCTTTCACCCCTTTTTTGTTCCAAAAGAAAAGAAACCCTTTTTGAAATTCCTTTCGTTTCTCAATAATTTTTACTATAAATTAAACGCCCGTTTTTTTGGTTTGTGGGGCGGGAGCTGGTTTTTTTTTTGGGGGGGGTGCCTCTCTTTTTTTCCTCTCTTCAACTTAAAAAAAACACTTTTTTTTTTGTTGAAAAAAACCGTGTTTTATAAAAAGACCACGGGTACCCGGGGGGGGGGGGGGGAGGGTGCGCACCCCCTCCTCCCCTACCCTCCCCCTTAAATATCCTTTCACCTCGTTTATGTTCCAAGAAGCAAGAAACTCTCTTTGAAACTTCATTAGTTTCATCAGTAATTTATCCTATAAATTAAGCCGCTGTTTGTTGGCATTGTTTGATTGTTTACCAATTTATATGCTGTTCTACTTTTACAGCAATCCCCAATAAGCACAGAAACACTGAAGACGTTACGGAGAAGAAGTGTTGCGTCCAGAACGTAAGTACTGTGTTGTGCTTTTAACTGACGATGGAGCACTTTTCGAAACACACATTTTACCAACGCATTCTTGAACTATTGTAGGATGTTTCCAAGAAAGGTGGAGTGCAGTCGACGCGATAAGAAGGTGAGCTATAAAGATCCTTATTTCTGTTGAACTTCTTTAAATAAAATTTGTTATCTTACTTAGCTACTGACAGCAAACTTGAATGAAACAAACCAATTACAACTAGATAAAAAGAAGTTTAGCGCATATCACTGAATAATATCTACCTTTAGCTAGAAGTGTAACCAGTTCCAAGGCCTACAAAATCCGGTAGCAAGTCCAAGAAAAAATAATCACCTTATTAGCTAAAGAAAGAGCAGAAATTTTCTTGATAAGCCAATGTGTTTCGTCAGTTCATAAGTTGTAGAAAGCTATAGTATTTCTTAATCTGGCTAACACTTTGAGTGATTCCTTATTTTCTATCATGCAAGAAAAATGGAAGCATCAGTAATTAATAGCAATATTTCTTTGCAACCTCCTTTCTCATTTTTCTTAGCCTCGTCCACTATCATGGGCAAGTCCAGGAAACTTCACCGTCCACGACAAAACACATATGGATTGGCTAGTGGCTGATCTTGGGAGCCTGCACACCCTTAAACTCAGCGGTAATTCCCAGGAGGGCACAAGAACTCAATGCCTTGTAGCGTCATGAACTTGCTCAGCGCAGGTACTGCGCAGTGAGAAGTGAAAAGAAAGATTTGATATTCTTGCAAAAGAACTTCATTTAAAGCAGCTTCTGTTACGTTATTTCATGAACGTTAAGGGTCTACGCTACAAGTCTGCAGAGTGATTTTGATTTTAATAGCTTACGTAGTGCTGAAAAAACAAGAAGCACAGTTACGGTATCGCTTGTGCTGGAACGCAAGGACACTGGTGCGCGGGAAAAGTGTATCCACCAAGCGGCAAGCGCGGGAAAGCATCTGCGTGAGAGATACGTGATGTTAGACTATTTCATTCAAATCACTGTATTTTGTCTCTACAATCCATGAGTTAATGCCCTTGTTCACAGAAATGGGGGAACCCCATAATTTACGTTAGACTAAGGACGATCCGATCCTTCGTCTTCCGTCTGTCTGCGTAGCGTTCATAAGCTTAACGTAATTGAAATACTCTATACTTAAGAATAAAGTCGTACACTTAATATATATGGAGAAACTATGTACAAAAAAAGAAAAATTAAGTTAATTATTTGACCAGTGTTGCAGTTGTATTGTAATTAATTCCTTAAAACTTAAAGAGGTTCGATATGTTTTCAAGAACAGAGTCACTTGCTCCTAGAGTTGTCGTGTAGGATGGTCAGCGGATGACCAAACGGAGAACTTCATCGGGCAACACCATCTACCTTCACAGCCGTCCAATTAGAGGCCGTACGATACTACGACGACGATGGCAATAGGGAAGTCAAAAGAGAAATAATAGCAAGGTTTGATAAGCAAAACTATAAATCTGACTGTAAGTTAAGGAAGAGAGAGAATTGGTTACAATCTTCACGCGCGTTCGTGATTACCCGGCATCAAGTGCATAACTTACTGAACTAACTTGACGGATTGTAAATAAGCATACTATATGACTTTATTTGAGCTAGGCTTGCTTAAAGCCGCTTCTAGTTATTACTGGAGAATCTCTTTATCTTTCTTGGGCGCCGTTGTTGAATGTTAACAGTTTTGTTAGTTGCGATTCAACTTTGTCGCCACGGCACATTAGTGTAAGATATATGACAGGGATGTAAAAAATACTTGCGCGCCTGGAAATAAACATGTTGTCAAAAACAAGTAGAAAAAGAAAGAAAAAAAATTATATTTCCCACTATGAGTGGTATATGCTGTAGTGGACTGTAGTCTTTTGATGCTGAAGTTATAGTGAATTTGTGACTTATAGCCTTGTTAGGTCTTCGGCTTCAAAATTTCGAGATCCATCGTGTTGGCCCTACTTGTCGCACTTATGGTGGAGGTCCCGAAAGATGCCATTTTAATCTTTGTGCGTTTACGAAAACCTCGGTTTTTGGTCGTTTTGGTATGGACGAAAGATCCTTGGAGGGCGTGAGAAACCTCGTTCGAGTCTCTTCGAGTTCTTCTCTTTGTTCAAAAGAAACCTCGTAATATGCAGGCTAAAACTGTATTTTAATGTTTGCGTTTCAAAGCGAATGTATGATCAAAGTGGCACTGAAGCAAAGTTAGCTACATCTCAAGTGGTAAACATCAAAAATGAAGCTTTATTTTTACTTTTATATGAATTACAGCAATTACAGAACTTAAAAAATTGACTGAGTTAATGGCTTTCAGTTGATGTCACCTGAAAGAGAAAAGCGAACAGTAGTGGATCAATACAAGTTCCCTGAATGCTATGGTTTGCAATAAAAAGTCAGTATTCTCACCTCAAAGGGTCGTAGTTGCTCCAAGAGTCATTACTCTTCCATTGATTCGCTGATTAAGTTGCTGAAAAAATACGGTATAATCTCGATTATTTTATTTTGATTGATTGGTTGAACTCACATAAACGCTGTTCACATATCTTTCTTAACTTCCTAAATTTTTTAAATTTTCATCCATTTTTTTTTTCAGTGCATCTCGGACAGACATTTACAACAATGACAATTACGAAAAGGCTGGGGGGCCTTTTGGTCTTTCTTCCCTCTCCAACTTGCACTTCATTAGCAGTTTAGTTTAGGTCATCCATGTCTTACCTGGCCACGTTGTTGGCAGAAACGTCTTCGAGGCCCTCTTCCCTTGAAACAAAGTTGGTAAATAATCAGTAATGGCTAATTAGCAAAAAACTGTTAGAAAACCGTTTTACTGGAAATTAAAGAGTAAATTGAGCTCAATTTAGCCACAAATTACATTGCCTGTTTCTACACAATAATGCGGCTAAAATTTAGGTAGCACTGGCTGTTACGCCCGAAGAGGAAAGGGGGGAGAAGATGGGCTGAGATGGGGACATAGATCCGCGTTGACAGTTTACGGCAAACTGAACTTTGTTATCTTTGTTGATCCGGAAGGTTCTTCCTCTTGGCGTCAGTACACTTTTTCTGGCCACCTTGATTATTAAAAAGTGTCGCCCCTAGTAGAGAACTGTGAACTAAAAAATCGGCCCAAGGGAAGGGTGTTTTGACTTATAAGTTTCCTCTCTGATCAAAGTCCCTAGGTTAGCCCTTGCCACCCCCCCTCCCCCAGCCCTGGGGTATAACACTGATAGGTGTGTTACTTACTCAAGCGCCCTTGCCCTCCCCCCCCCAGCCCTGGGGTATAACACTGATAGGTGTATCACTTACTCCACCGCCCTTGCCCTCTCAACCCCTCCCCCCCAGCCCTGGGGTATAACACTGATAGGTGTATTACTTACTCAAGCGCATTCTTCAGAGAATTCATCAGTTCATCGCTCTGTAAATAAACAATGAAGCTAATTTCAAATATTTCTAACAAACGTGGTATTTTTCAAAACAGTTTCTAAGTAGGGTTTTGAAANTGATAGGTGTATTACTTACTCAAGCGCCCCTGCCCTCCCCCCCCCAGCCCTGAGGTATAACACTGATAGGTGTATCACTTACTCCACCGCCCTTGCCCTGTCAACCCCCCCTCCCAGCCCTGCGGTATAACACTGATAGGTGTATTACTTACTCAAGCGCATTCTTCAGAGAATTCATCAGTTCATCGCTCTGTAAATAAACAATGAAGCTAATTTCAAATATTTCTAACAAACGTGGTATTTTTCAAAACAGTTTCTAAGTAGGGTTTTGAAACTCCATTTTGGAAAGTGGAGGAGGAAAAAAGGATCGATCTCGTTCATGCAAATCATTTTTAATTTAATTTTAGTACGCACCCTCGCTGAAGTACGAAAACACATTTTGAGCAAAGATAGGAGGACAGATTAATGGCGGTACAACGCTTTCAGCGGCACCAAACATGAAACATTACGAGCCAACTTACGCGCGTTCGAAATCCTCGAACGTCGTACGTGCATTAGTATGGCACGGCTCACTCTTTGGGAATTTCTATAGGCACAAACTTTTCTGTTGCATCTTCAAGAAGCACAAAACTATCAGGGGCACCCAACGACAATTTTCGGAAGAATATCTGTTCGGAAGACGATTTTAGATCTAGAATTTTCGGAACATTTGTTGTAAAATTTCTTGCTTGCCTGCATCTCCTATGATTTTCGAACTTTAAAAAAATGGTATAATTGCCTTTTTTTAACGGATTTTTACCCTAAAAAGGTCACCTAGAATTTTCGGGAGCCTTTTTTCTGGCTGAAATTTTCGAAAAGATAAGTTTTGATCCCTATAATTTTCGGATCACCAAGCTTTCAGCTAGGAAATCCGAACAGCTGAAAAATTTTTAGGGGATGAAAATATGCCTATATCTACCGTTTAAATACTAAAATACGTTTAACAGTGCCATGTTTAAGTGGTTTTGAACTATATTCTCGTTGGGTGCCCCTGAACTATTGGTGACACTACCCTTTTAAAGTGTGGTCTCCTAGGCTTTTCATTGCTGATGTACCAGCGTCTTAGAACCACGAAGAAAATTATTTATGCGTGTAAATAAAAAAGAAATGTGAAGTTTAATTACCGATCGCCTGTTCCTGGTGTTCGGAACCTCCTCCATGATATCGGCGATACCGGCTATCGCAGATGCAATGTTGTCTACCGGAAGCTGTATCAGAAATGAAGATTGATATAAGGCAAAACCGAAAAAAAGGCTAGTTTTTTTAGAAATAATAATAAAAAAAGCATGAAAGTGCTAGCCGAAGTGTATGTCATCGCATGACATGACTAAGTTTAGCCACGATGAATAAATGCACCTGATGCGATAAGAGTAAGTCGTTCAAGATCAGTTCGCAAACGCGTATAGTAATATAGGTATAAGTATTGACGGCCAACAAATGAATTCTTTAGCGAACTATAAAGAGGAAAGATAATGGTCTCCGAAGTTTTCTTTAACTTTTGAAGGCATCTTGGGCCTACTATTAAAGGAAATACAGTTAAATAGCACGTTTGGTCAAAGAAAGACAAACTTACCGATCGCCTGGTTCGTTGTTGAGATGCGACTGCCTTTTTAAGACTATTCACCGCCTAAGAAAATAAACACACACAGTCTAAACTGCAGGCCCCAGCTGTTCGAAAGGTAGATAACTCTATCCACTGGATAAATCTCTATCCAGTGGATAACGCAATTGATTTCCCTATTACTTAATTATCCTCTGGATAGCGATTTATCCGGTGGATAGCACTATCCAGCGTTTGAACAACCAAGACCAGAACAGTTCGTATTTTTTGCGTATTCAAGTACGCGAGAGCAGTCAAACAAAAGGTCTGCAACGAGGCTGAATTCAGGGAGTGAGACTGGGGAGAGACGCTAAGAGACGCTTTTTCTCTCGCCTCACACGCCTCACACGCACCAGCACGCTTTACCGATTTCTTTACTGATTTCGAGAAAAAAACCGACTGTTCGGCATTCTACACACAATCCGGTGGCAGCCTACAAGCTTTCCCTTATAATTGCAAAACGCACACGGTTTTTTTAGTTTTCTGTTCAACAGATGATGAGATTGCTGAAAACAATATCATTATGATAGTTCATTGGCGAAAACGCTCCTTAGCGCCATGCTTCACTGAACATGCTCTGATTATGCACCTTAGGTGTATAACAGTTGGTCTCGATGGCCATGCATTTGTACATACAAACTAGTCTGCATTTGGCCCCTTTTGCATATAAGTCGAAAATCACGGAATAAATCTAACGGAAATGGTCTTTTAATATTCCTTATTATGTGCTGCGGCTGTTGTCACTGATACAAGAACCCTAATATTATTCATCAATGATGTGCGGTTTCCGCGTTCCTTCAATGACAGTCACTCCCTTGCGGTCAACGGCCCTTAGAATTCTTAGAGCTAAGCCGCTGAAGCTATATTCGTTACTAAATTTTTGCCATTGAACTCTTTAGTTTGCAAACTCGAGATCACCCGAACCATGCTGGCAGCTCATGTGTTTGTAGAAGTTATCAACCTAGTTCCTCGTTTAGAACTGTTGTTAGAAAAAACGCTGGAATTTGATCGCCGACGAGGAGTTGCACTATATTCAGGTTAACTGATCATGATCTGCCGATTCTTCCAGCGTAGTTAAGGTTAGGTGTCTCAGGGCTCAACACAAAACATAATTTTAACAACCATCGATGCAAATGCGGTAGTGAATTGTCTGAGTTCCTGTCGGTTTAAAGTGTGATTCAGCACACGAAACCGAAACTGCAGAAGAACCGACTTTGTGGAGTGGCATTCCATATGAGAAATGAGCGCATGATTTTGCGCCTTTTTAATATACACACGCAACTCCGAAAACAGCGTGCAGTGGCCTCTGATATAAGTTAAGTTACCGAGCGTCAGTCAATAAAAACATTAGCTGGAATTGTACATCGTGCACTAAGATTGTGTCAGTGAGACTTAACTTTTTAGCATAGTCAAAATACTGATTTGCCTTCCTCGCGAAGCCACCCATAATTTTGGCAAAGCGTTTAGATACTTAAATTGTCACAAAAAACTGGTTTTATATTGTCAGTTTGGTAAAGTAACTAAATTTTGCACCGCGGTGAGAAAGTTATCTTAATTAATAGCATGCAATGGAAGTTAATCTGCGAGTGAGTGCGGGCTTCATCAGTGACGATAATTCAACGGTACACACCATTCCGTGTAATTCATGCTAGTCTCTACTCACTACTCACTCACCTTCTTAGCTGGACTGCAGAAAGAACAAGCAACAAGAACAAATATAACGCAGAGGAAAAACGTGGATTTCATCTCCGTTGGCTGGATTTGAGTAATGAAAACTGTGGCTTTGGCTCAAAATGTGTCTGCTGACTCAGTTAATGCGTCAGTTATCCACTGAATGATCTGTTCATGAATGCACTGAATACAGCACCGGGCTTTGTTATAGAACGCGGAAATAAAATGATGTCAGCAGAAATTATTGACGCCGAACAGCTTGAGAGCCAATCGTACTTTCACTGGAAATATTTGCGGTCGTCAGTTTGTTCATGCATTTATAATTTATAACCGAAGGGTTGTGGCAGTATTTTTACAAAATAGTACCGGTGTATCGAAGGCCAGTGTCACGAGAATTCTCCCGAAAAGTTTCCGAAACACGTAACCAAACTAAGATTATGAAAGCACACTTACCGAGGCAAAAATCGCTTTTGAACGAGGAAATGAATCGAGAACACGAGTCGAACAAATATCCTTTGCTGTCTTCACGCAAATTTCCTAATTCTTAATCTTGAAAGAACTAAGATTTCTTGTTGGTACTCATCAGAGGATCGCAGCGGCTGAAGCCGCTAGTGATAGATATCAGTACACTAGTCAATTCCCTTTATTGCGGACACTGTATGGACCTCGAGGAAGTGTCCTCATCACAGAGTCCGTAATAGCGGGAGTTTATTTCAGTCAAACGTCTGTGATTTGTTTTCGCGGGGATTTAGCTGCTGTCCGTTTTATCGAGGTGTCCGCAAGGCGAGAGTTGACTGTAATACGCTCATAGATAGGAGTTTACAACTTCAAATACCTTGGGGTCCTCCTAAACCACACCCCATCCTAAGGACCATGCATGTAGAGTATACTGGTAATAAGATCTCGACAAGATTAGGTACTCTGCATCGAACGCACAAGGTTCTTCCCAAATCTACTTGTCTAATGCTCTATAGCACTATAGTTTTGCCGTTGTTCGACTACTGTTGGTCTATCTGGGACAGTTGTGGGGTTGGGAGCAAATCTTATCTAGATAACCTGAGCTTAACAGACGTGGCCCCTGTATCACTGAAGGTCGATCAATCAGGGCTAGCCCACAAGCGCGTCGACTATCTGAAGTGCGTATTAGTCTATAAATGTCTTTATGGAATGGCGCCATTGTACTTTTAATTGTACTTACTCTCTGAGTTTAGGCATGCGCACGAAGTTCATAGCTACAACACCAGACGCCATGATTTGCTGCGTTCTCCTTTTGCGTAAACTGTTAAGTACCACAGAAGCTTTAGCATAAACGGTGCTCGTACATACAATACTCTACCTTGAAACGAAGTCTTTTACTGAAAGACGAAATATCGGCAAGAGTGTTCTTCTTCCATGGAGTACTTGTAAGGTTTCCTTTTTTTCCAGTTTTTTGAGGTTATGGAAACATCAGGCCCCAGTTGTTCAAACGTTGGATAGCGCTATCCAACGTTTGAACAACTGGGGCCAGACAGATAGAGACGCTCAGTGAATTTAAGATTAAGCTCAAACGCCATCTTAGACAATAATACCTGTACTTGATAACTTACTAGTCTCTTTTATGTTTTTTAATGTGATTTAAATAATAAATAAATAAATAAGAGACATATATTCATTATATCGCTGGCGAATATAATGACGTCTCTCTATCGTCTCTCAAGCGAAACGACCCTATTCTGAGCTATTCATTCTACGAAGGTTTTTGACATGATCATTTTCCAAGCACTCGAAAACTAAAAGTCGGGTCGACGGCTAACGTCTTCAAGTTTTCGTCGACTTAGTCTTAGTAATCATCCGGTTAAAGCAAATAAGCGACGATTTGTCACTTTTTTACGCACCAATGTACTTCCCTTTAGCACTGAGGACCTCGTGCGCAGTATTGAGTAGATTTCTATTACTGCAACACTTCCGCCGGATTTTTGAGAAGGCACTTGGTGTAAACCAAGGAAGCCATAAATATATTAAATAGCAATTTAGTCAGTTTTAATTCCTGTATGAAACTGATGTATAACTGCATGCATTTACTTTAAAAGCGTGCGATTTTGCAATATTATCTTAGCGTACTAAATTTAGCTTCATTATACATGTAATATCGCGAATTTACTGGTACGATACTGATTGTTTTACGCGCACAAGAAGCAGAAATCGATAGCTCGGCTCTTTTGAAGCAAGGCAGTTCTAGATTGTTCATATGTCGTTGTAAAAGATTTTTTTCCCCACCTTCCCACAACTGAGGGTATGATCGCGCGCTAAAAATCATTATATTTAAACTCCACAATTTTGCTAAATTTACAAAATGACGAATCTGCCTTAGTGATCAGTGAAACATAATAAATAAAGAAAAGACGGAAATAAATGGCTTTGAGGAGAAGTGTAAGCTATACCCGATACATACTTGATAGGAAGAGGCCGGAATGTGAATTTATTGGTTACTGAGTTTGCTCCAAACGAGATTAAAATGCTTAAAATTTCTTGCTGGCAAACGCTTGACGTGAAAAATTTTCAGCTCGGCTAGACGGGATCTCGATGAAGACTGCTAAGCGAGCCACTTAAAAAGTTAAGTTTGCTGTCACTAGAAAAACTCATGTGGATTAAGGCCTGGTATCTTTCGTGGCCGTTTTTTTTTAACCGCCTTTGAGCCCCATCTAGCTTTAATACGAAGTCGATGTCCAAAGAAAGAGAGAAATTCTAGTCATCTTAAAACTTGGTCAAGGAAAGGTGGGTGGGTGCATTTTAAAAACTCTTATCGCCAAGGGGGGTGGGGGGGGGGGGTACAATTTTCATATGAAATTATTTTAGGGGGGTACAGTTTTCATGCACCACACTTTTCTGAAAACCGGCGCCCCCCCCCCACCCCCTCCCCCCGGGACGATATAAACGATCGGTCCCTTATAGAAACTAAAACTTCTTTCAGCTTAAATAAGCCTTACGAAGTTGTCAGTTGTTCATGTATGACCCCATGAAATGTCCTGAGACACCCTTGCCATGTCGTGCCTCTAGGCACAGAAGTGTGACCCCATTTAGTAGTAAGTGTAGTTAGTAGGTGTAGTAAGTGTAGTAAATGTACACTTACTACAGCTACTACACCTACTACACTTACTACAGCTACTACAGCTACTACCCTTACTACACTTACTACTACATGGGGTCACACTTCTGTGCCTGGAGGCACGACATGGCACTGGTGTCTCAGGACATTTCATGGGGTCATACATCAACTACTCACCCAAGAAGGTCACTTCTTGTCTGCCGGCAGGTAAGGTATCCAAATCCTTTGGGTTTTCGCTAAAATAACGAAGCAATAATATCTAAGGAATATCTAAGTATGACTAAGTACTTAGTCTTTGAAGTAGGCTTCTCAGAAAAGCGAAATAAGGTTTAAAATGGCAAAGAAATGACAGTTAATACTCACGTAGTGAAGAGTATGGCAAAGAAGGCAATTTGACGTAGCAGAAAACGAGGCTACGGCGGGAAAGCCGTAGTGCAACTCGCGTGATGGCAATACCGGAAGTGATTTTGACCTTAATGTAGCCGTAGTAGCCCCTTTGCTGTAGTGAATCTTAAAGTCCCTATTAACATCTCCGTACGATACATATCCGTAGCGCAGCTTAAGGCGCTATACCAGAGCTTAACTTCGCTAAACCATCCATAGAATAGAGCTTGAAGATCCGAGACGTATCGGTTTCTCTCATGAGGACAGCTCCATTTTTGGCCCAGCAAAATTTAAATTTTAATTGTTGTTGACACTTTTTTGATTCGTAGAGTAGCTGTTGTAGCTTTGGCGTTAAGTGCTCGAAAATTCTTGCTGAGGTTAAAAGCACATCATCTGGCAAACCATTTTCAGAAGGATTTATCGTGGAGATTCGAACGCTTTGCTGCATTATCTCTTGAATGGGTAACCGACGGGTAAATTTGCATATGATGGCGTTGTGCGAAGACCTCTCGTCTTCACTCCTTGTAGATCTCTTCGGAAAACGATGTGCTATATGGATGTCGTTCATGGTAACACTAGCACCGATCTTTTGGGTGTTACGAAAACTAATACCCTCGAAAACTAAGACCTAAGACCTGTCTTAGTTTTCGAAATTACGAAAACTAAGACCCCTAAATTTACCGTTAAATTCGACCTAAAACTCTGTGGAAAGAATCGGACAGAAGATAATTTCACAATTAGACCTATTTCCAGGGTCGTAACGGAGAACTTCATCGGGCAACACCATCTACCTTCACAGCCGTCCAATTAGAGGCCGTACGATACTACGACGACGATGGCAATAGGGAAGTCAAAAGAGAAACAATAGCAAGGTTTGATAAGCAAAACTATAAATCTGACTGTAAGTTAAGGAAGAGAGAGAATTGGTTACAATCTTCACGCGCGTTCGTGATTACCCGGCATCAAGTGCATAACTTACTGAACTAACTTGACGGATTGTAAATAAGCATACTATATGACTTTATTTGAGCTAGGCTTGCTTAAAGCCGCTTCTAGTTATTACTGGAGAATCTCTTTATCTTTCTTGGGCGCCGTTGTTGAATGTTAACAGTTTTGTTAGTTGCGATTCAACTTTGTCGCCACGACACATTAGTGTAAGATATATGACAGGGATGTAAAAAATACTTGCGCGCCTGGAAATAAACATGTTGTCAAAAACAAGTAGAAAAAGAAAGAAAAATATTATATTTCCCACTATGCGTGGTATATGCTGTAGTGGACTGTAGTCTTTTGATGCTGAAGTTATAGTGAATTTGTGACTTATAGCCTTGTTAGGTCTTCGGCTTCAAAATTTCGAGATCCATCGTGTTGGCCCTACTTGTCGCACTTATGGTGGAGGTCCCGAAAGATGCCATTTTAATCTTTGTGCGTTTACGAAAACCTCGGTTTTTGGTCGTTTTGGTATGGACGAAAGATCCTTGGAGGGCGTGAGAAACCTCGTTCGAGTCTCTTCGAGTTCTTCTCTTTGTTCAAAAGAAACCTCGTAATATGCAGGCTAAAACTGTATTTTAATGTTTGCGTTTCAAAGCGAATGTATGATCAAAGTGGCACTGAAGCAAAGTTAGCTACATCTCAAGTGGTAAACATCAAAAATGAAGCTTTATTTTTACTTTTATATGAATTACAGCAATTACAGAACTTAAAAAATTGACTGAGTTAATGGCTTTCAGTTGATGTCACCTGAAAGAGAAAAGCGAACAGTAGTGGATCAATACAAGTTCCCTGAATGCTATGGTTTGCAATAAAAAGTCAGTATTCTCACCTCAAAGGGTCGTAGTTGCTCCAAGAGTCATTACTCTTCCATTGATTCGCTGATTAAGTTGCTGAAAAAATACGGTATAATCTCGATTATTTTATTTTGATTGATTGGTTGAACTCACATAAACGCTGTTCACATATCTTTCTTAACTTCCTAAATTTTTTAAATTTTCATCCATTTTTTTTTTCAGTGCATCTCGGACAGACATTTACAACAATGACAATTACGAAAAGGCTGGGGGGCCTTTTGGTCTTTCTTCCCTCTCCAACTTGCACTTCATTAGCAGTTTAGTTTAGGTCATCCATGTCTTACCTGGCCACGTTGTTGGCAGAAACGTCTTCGAGGCCCTCTTCCCTTGAAACAAAGTTGGTAAATAATCAGTAATGGCTAATTAGCAAAAAACTGTTAGAAAACCGTTTTACTGGAAATTAAAGAGTAAATTGAGCTCAATTTAGCCACAAATTACATTGCCTGTTTCTACACAATAATGCGGCTAAAATTTAGGTAGCACTGGCTGTTACGCCCGAAGAGGAAAGGGGGGAGAAGATGGGCTGAGATGGGGACATAGATCCGCGTTGACAGTTTACGGCAAACTGAACTTTGTTATCTTTGTTGATCCGGAAGGTTCTTCCTCTTGGCGTCAGTACACTTTTTCTGGCCACCTTGATTATTAAAAAGTGTCGCCCCTAGTAGAGAACTGTGAACTAAAAAATCGGCCCAAGGGAAGGGTGTTTTGACTTATAAGTTTCCTCTCTGATCAAAGTCCCTAGGTTAGCCCTTGCCACCCCCCCTCCCCCAGCCCTGGGGTATAACACTGATAGGTGTGTTACTTACTCAAGCGCCCTTGCCCTCCCCCCCCCAGCCCTGGGGTATAACACTGATAGGTGTATCACTTACTCCACCGCCCTTGCCCTCTCAACCCCTCCCCCCCAGCCCTGGGGTATAACACTGATAGGTGTATTACTTACTCAAGCGCATTCTTCAGAGAATTCATCAGTTCATCGCTCTGTAAATAAACAATGAAGCTAATTTCAAATATTTCTAACAAACGTGGTATTTTTCAAAACAGTTTCTAAGTAGGGTTTTGAAAATACAATTTTAGAAAGTGGAGGAGGAAAAGGATCAATCTCGTTCATGCAAATCATTTTTAATTTAATTTTTGTACGCACCCTCGCTGAAGTACGAAAAACACATTTTGAGCCGGAAAAGATAGGAGGACAGATTAATGGCGGTACAACGGTTTCAGCAGCACCAAAAATGAAACATTACGAGCCAACTTACGCGCGTTCGAAGTCCTTCAACATCGTACGTACATTAGTATGGCACGGCTCACTCTTTGGGAATTTCTATTGGCACAAACTTTTCTCTTGCATCTTCAAGAAGCACAAAACTATTGGTGACCCTACCCTTTTAAATTGTGGTCTCGTAGGCTTTTCATTGCTGATGTACAAGCGTCTTAGAACCGCGAAATAAATTATTTATGCGTGTAAATAAAAAAGAAAGGTGAAGTTTAATTACCGATCGCTTGTTCCTGGTGTTCGGAACCTCCTCAATGCTGTCCATGATACTGGATATAGCAGATGCAATGTTGTCCACCGGAAGCTGTATCAGAAATGTAAGATTGATATAAGGCAAAAGCGAAAAAAAGACTAGCCTTTTTAGAAATAGTGAAAAAAGCATGAAAGTGCTAGCTGATGTGTATGTCATCGCATGGCTAAGTTTAGCCACGATGAATAAATGCACCTAATACGATAAGCGGAAGACGTTCAGTTCGCAGACTCATGTAGTCGGTATAGGTATTGACGGCCAACAAATGTTATTTATTTTATTTTATTTTATTTTATTAGCTTTGCCCTGAAGAATACAAAAAAAAAACACTGTAGATATGCAAACAAAATATCAGGGCAGGGACACCGCAACAGCTAAAGCCAATTAATGCGGAATTACTGCGAGATGAATTCTTTAGTGAACTATAAAGCAGAAAGATCATGGTCTCTAAAGTTTTCTTTAACTTTTGAAGGCATCTTGGGCCTACTATTAAAGGAAATACAGTTAAATATCACGTTTAGTCAAAGCAAGACAAACTTACCGATCGCCTTGTTCGTTGTTGAGATGCGACTGCCTTTTTAAGACTATTCACCGCCTAAAAAAATAAAACACACACAGTCTAAACTGCAGAACAGTCCGTATTTTTTGCGTATTCAAGTACGCGCGAGCAGTCAAACAAAGGGTCTGCAACGAGGCTGAATTCAGGGAGCGAGACTGGGGAGAGACGCTAAGAGACGCTTTTTCTCTCGCCTCACACGCCCCACCACGCTTTACCGATTTCTTTACTGATTTCGAGAAAAAACCCGACTGTTCGGCAGTCTACACACAGTCCGGTCCCTTATAATTGCAAAACGCACACGGTTTTTTTTAGTTTTTTGTTCAACAGATGATGAGGTTGCTGAAAACAGTATCATTAGCGCCATGCTTCACTGAAAATGCTCTGATTATGCAACTTAGGTGTATAACAGTTGGTCTCGATGGCCATGCTTTATTGTACATTCAAACTAGTCTGCATTTGGCCCCTTTTGACATATAAGTCAAAAATCATGGAATAAATCTAACGGAAATGGTCTTTTAATATTCCTTATTATGCGATGCGGCTGTTGTCACTGATATAAGAAAAAAAAGGCCTAATATTATTCATCAATGATGTGCGGTTTCCGCGTTCCTTCAATGGATCTTCAATGAAGTCACTCCCTTGCGGTCAACGGCCCTCAGAATTCTAAGAGCTAAGCAGCTGAAGCTATATTGGTTACTAAATTTTGCCATTGAGACTCTTTAGTTTGCAAACTCGAGATCACCCGAACCATGCTGGCAGCTCATGTGTTTGTAGAAGTTATCAACCTAGTTCCTCGTTTAGAGCTGTTGTTAGAAAAAACGCCTGAATTTGATCGCCGACGAGGAGTTGCACTATATTCAGGTTAACTGATCATGATCTGCCGATTCTTCAAACGTAGTTAAGGTTAGGTGTCTCAGGGCTCAACACAAAACATAATTTTAACAACCATCGATGCAAATGCGGTAGTGAATTGTCTGAGTTCCTGTCGGTTTAAAGTGTGACTCAGCACACGAAACCGAAACTGCAGAAGAACCGACTTTGTGGAGTGGCATTCCATATGAGAAATGAGCGCATGATTTTGCGCCTTTTTAATATACACACGCAACTTCGAAAACAGCGTGCAGTGGCCTCTGATATAAGTTAAGTTACCGAGCGTCAGTCAATAAAAACATTAGCTGGAATTGTACATCGTGCACTAAGATTGTGTCAGTGAGACTTAACTTTTTGGCATAGTCAAAATAGTGATTTGCCTTCCTCGCGAAGCCACCCATGATTTTGGCAAAGCGTTTAGATACTTAAATTGTCACAAAAAACTGGTTTTATATTGTCAGTTTGGTAAAGTAACTAAATTTTGCACCGTGGTGAGAAAATTATCTTAATTAATAGCATGCAGTGGAAGTTAATTTGCGAGTGAGTGCGGGCTTCATCAGTGACGATAATTCAACGGTACACACCATTTCGTGTAATTCATGCTAGTCTCTACTCACTACTCACTCACCTTCTTAGCTGGACTGCAGAAAGAACAAGCAACAAGAACAAATATAACGCAGAGGAAAAACGTGGATTTCATCTTCGTTGGCTTGATTTGAGGAATGAAAACTGTGGCTTTGGCTCAAAATGTGTTTGCTGACTAAGTGGTGTCAGTTATCCACTGAATGATCTGTTCATGAATGCACTGAATACAGCACCGGGCTTTGTTATAGAACGCGGAAATAAAATGATGTCAGCAGAAATTATTGACGCCGAACAGCTTGAGAGCCAATCGTACTTTCACTGGAAATATTTGCGGTCGTCAGTTTGTTCATGCATTTATAATTTATAACCGAAGGGTTGTGGCAGTATTTTTACAAAATAGTACCGGTGTATCGAAGGCCAGCGTCACGAGAATTCTCCCGAAAAGTTTCCGAAACACGTAACCAAACTAAGATTATAAAAGCACACTTACCGAGGCAAGAAATCGCTTTTGAGCGAGAAAACGAATCGAGAACACGAGTCGAACAAATATCCTTTGCTGGCTTCACGCAAATTTCCTAATTCTTAATCTTGAAAGAACTAAGATTTTGCTTGTTGGTACTCATCAGAGGATCGCAGCGGCTGAAGCCGCTAGTGATAGATATCAGTACACTAATCAATTCCCTTTATTGCGGACACTGTATGGACCTCGAGGAAGTGTCCTCATTACAGAGAGTCCGTAATAGCGGGAGTTTATTTCAGTCAAACGTCTGTGATTTGTTTTCGCGGAGATTTAGCTGCTGTCCGTTTTATCGAGGTGTCCGCAAGGCGAGAATTGACTGTAATGCGCTCTTAGACAGGAGTTTACAACTTCAAATATCTTGGTGTCCTCCTAGACCACACCCTATCCTAAGGACCATGCATGTAGAGTATACTGCCAATAAGATCTCGACAAGATTAGGTATTCTGCGTCGAGCGCACAAGGTTCTTCCCAAATCTACTTGTCTACTTGTCTAATGCTCTATAGTACTATAGTTTTGCCGTTGTTTGACTACTGTTGGTCTATCTGGGACAGTTGTGGGGTTGGGAGCAAATCTTATCTAGATAACCTGAGCATAACAGACGTGGCCCCTGTATCATTGAAGGTCGATCAATCAGGGCTAGCCCACAAGCGCGTCGACTATCTGAAGTGCGTCTTAGTCTATAAATGTCTTTCTGGAATGGCGCCATTGTACTTTTAATTGTACTTACTCTCTGAGTTTAGGCATGCGCACGAAGTTCATAGCTACAACACCAGACGCCATGATTTGCTGCGTTCTCCTTTTGCCTAAACTGTTAAGTACCACAGAAGCTTTAGCATAAACGGTGCTCGTACATACAATACTCTACCTTGAAACGAAGTCTTTTACTGAAAGACGATATATCGGCAAGAGTCCTTTTTTCCAGTTTTCTGAGGTTATGGAAACATCAGACAGATAGAGACGCTCAGTGAATTTAAGATTAAGCTTAAACGCCATCTTAGACAATAATACCTGTACTTGACAACTTACTAGTCTCTTTTATGTTTTTTAATGTGATTTAAATAATAAATAAATAAATAAGAGACATATATTCATTATATCGCTGGCGAATATATTGACGTCTCTCTATCGTCTCTCAAGCGAAACGACCCTATTCTGAGCTATTCATTCTACGAAGGTTTTTGACATGATTTTTCCAAGCACTCGAAAACTAAAAGTCGGGTCGACGGCTAACGTTTTCAAGTTTTCGTCGACTTTGTCTTAGTAATCATCCGGTTAAAGCAAATAAGCGACGATTTGTCACTTTTTTACGTACCAATGTAGTTCCCTTTAGCACTGAGGACCTCGTGCGTAGTATTGAGTAGATTTCTATTACTACAACACTTCCGCCTGATTTTTGAGAAGGCACTTGGTGTAAACCAAGGAAGCCGTAAATATATTAAATAGCAATTTAGTCAGTTTTAATTCCTGTATGAAACTGATGTATAACTGCATGCATTTGCTTTAAAAGCGTGCGATTTTGCAATATTATCTTAGCGTACTAAATTTAGCTTCATTATACATGTAATATCGCGAATCTACTGGTACGATACTGATTGCTTTATGCACCAGTCAATTCCACCTGCGCCCAGCACCCCCCCGGGCTGACCCCCGGGCATTAGCATTTTTTTTGCCTTGGATGGCAAATTCCCGGGGGTGGGGACTCTTGAGCGGTCAAAGCCCCCGGGGTGGGGTTAGTTAGGGTAGTCCGCATGGTAGTCCGCGGACTAGTCCGTAGAGTAGTCCGCGGAGTAGTCCGTAGAGTAGTCCGCGGAGTGGGGTCAGTGGGTAGTCCGCGGAGTGGGGTCAGTTTTTTCAACTCTCCCCACATAGCATAGCTATAGCAGTTGTGCTTTACTAGGCACCAGGGTCTCTTCTCTCCATTTCAAACAGAGTACCCTGGAAATGAATTAACTTCCGCCTTGCTTCGTCTGTTAGTGAAAATGGCCGAATCACTATCCGACGTTGATTTACGGTCATATCAGCAAGTACTTCTACACTGGATTGAGAACAATCCGCAGAAAAAACTCAGCTTTCTTGTCACCGGTAAGACTGGCGTTGGCAAATCCCGCCTGGTGAATGCTCTTGTCGGGAAAGATGTCGCGGAGGAAGGGCGACAGCGAGATTCTTGCACAAACACATCAACTCCGCACAAAGTTACAATTGAAGGTATTGACGTGCTTGTCTGGGATTCTCCGGGCCTTCAAGATGGCGACGCCAATTACCTTGAAAACCTGAAATCCGTCAATTCGACACATGGCCTTGATGTCGTCATCTACTGCATCAAGATGAACGACAATAAATTTTATGCCGAAGACAAGATGGCCATTTGCAAGCTGACAGAGGGTTTTGGAAAGGACGTTTGGAAAAAAACTGTGATAGCCTTGACGTTCGCCAACCAAGTCCAAGACCCAGATGCAGAGGATCACGACAAACCGGCTAACCAAATCTATTTTCTGGAAGAATTTACGGAGTGGGAAAGGCAATTAAGAGGTGCGCCGAATGGAATCCTAATTAACCTGGATATCGATTCCGAAGTACTCACGGCACTTCCCATTGTCGCGGTTGGAAATTCTACTGGAAACCCCAAGAAGCCGAGACCGCTACCCAACGGTGATAAATGGCTCAGTGAGTTGTGGTTAAGTTGCTATTCTGTAATGAGTGATAACGCCGGGATAGCTCTATACAAGATAAGCAAGCACCGCTTAGTATCTGCCGCAACTGCTAAAGCACTAGAAGCGGCCAACATTGACCCGACGGACATACCGGGCGATATACCTTTTACCAAGGAACAGGAAAATGCGTTTTTCAATAGAATGTGGGAGTCATTTAAGCGTGTTGCTCCAACGGCTCTCACCGCTACTGGCGTTGTTGCAATTGCAGTTATCGCTACGCTATTTAAAAAGTAATGATACCAAAATGAAGCATACATCAACACGTTGTAGCAACTTTTAAGGAAACTAGTCAAGTAACGAGAAGAAAGTTGCAAGAATCATTCATTTTCAACACTGCAAAGTAAATTAATATGACTCGACCAATCAAAGTGGATATGAGCCACTAGTCTGACTACAATACTCGTCACAAATCATTGAAAGTAGCCTGTTCCAGGCGTTCAGATAGTGGGGAGCGGTGCGAAGTAAAAAGGAGCCCAGTCCCCCTCTACTTTTCATCGCTTTCTTTACTCTGCACCGCTCTCCACTATCTGAACGCTTGGAACAGGCTACATTGAAAGAGACACCGCTTCTCTTGAATTTTCTAGAAAATTCTTGAGATTTACTCCTCGCACTTTTGTTCTCACTGTAATGTGCCCTCTCCCTCCCCAATGTTGAGCCACGCGTATTTTGAAGCACTGAGACCGTTGTAATGTCCAAATCAACATTGGGGAAGGGGAAACGCACTATTGTTTTCAGGTATTTGTCTCTGACCGAGTCATCATGACAGTGTGACGTCACATAGCAACAACTCAGAGCTTCGCGTCGCTTGATCAGTTTAGCATGGAGAAGCCATCGAAGTTAAACAAAGAAAGGGCTAATACAGGCTTTTGTTCAGCGTTGGTAAAACAATTTGTCGTAAGTGTGCAAGCTTTGTTGCTTATATTGTTTGTGTGTAAAAGCTGTGTTTGTTTTGTCCGCACGTTTGTGTTAAATTCTACTCCAATCCACTTCGGGTCAGTG